TGCCTTCTTGAGTAGGCCCTCAGCATTCTTGGTTCTAGGCTGAATTTGGATAGCAAAAACCCATTTCCCCACACCATGGCTACAAGACATCTCAAACAAATCTTGTTGCAGTGAGAGGGCATCTGCTGTCAGCCAAGTCTCTGTTTGTTGCCTGGGTCCTGATTTGAACTGTGCATGGGAAGTGAAGCAGCCATTGGGGCAGAAGGCCTCCCTCAGAAGGGGTGAAGGTTCAGGCCCCTGCAAAGTTGGGGGAGGGGGGGTAACAGATGCTTTTCAACATCCCAATAAACCCATTATAAATTGAAAATATCATGAGTCATGTGGCACAACGGTTGAGCATCAACTTATAAACCAGGAGGTCATGGTTGGATTCCTATTCAGGGCAACTGCACAAGTTGCAGGTTTGATCCCCATGAGAGGTATGCAGAAGGCAGCTAGTCAATGTTATATTTTCACAACATTGTTTCTCCCTCTCCTCCTCCTTTCCTTTCTAAAAATCAATTTAAAAAAAATTTTTTTTTTTTTTTTAAAAAGATGGTATCCCGTTCCTTTTCCTCTTCCGGGGATGGTGACTTCAGGTATTCACCGTGGTTCAGCGTTTGACATACCCCCGGAGGCTGTCCTACAATACAGCCTCTAACAAACTAGACTGTCCCGAGCCCCTGGTAATAGAATTATTTACCTTTACACCAAGAAGGTTGGGAAAGCACCCAAATCTGCATGTGGTGTGTGCCCAGGCCGACTCCGAGGAGCTCGTGCTGTGAGACCTAAAGTTCTAATGAGGGTGTCTGAAACGAAAAAACACGTCAGAGGGCCTATGGTGGATCCATGTGTGCTAAATATGTCCGTGACAGGATCAAGCGTGCTTTCCTTATTGAGGAGCAGAAAATCATTGTAAAAGTGTTGAAGGCACAAGCACAGAGTCGGAAAGCTAAATAAATTTAAAAATGAAGCTTTTTGAGTAATAAAAAGTCTCATTCTGTTAAAAAAAAAAAAAAAAAGATGTTATCCCATCACAAACCATTTGTAAAAGCGGTGCTGGTTTGACAGTGCTTCAGGAATGGTTGAAAAAAAGAAACTCCAGATCAACTAAAAGAAAAATGCAAGTGAATATGCTTTGGAATGGAGACGGACTCTACAAGCCTATAGGAAGCTATCCAAGAGAAGGAAAAGGAATTGCTTTGACAGTTAAAATGTTACACTATATGTTAGACACCACCACCCAACAGCTTAAAAAGCAAGTAGCCTGGGAAAGGGTTCCGATTCTTTGTAACTGAAGAGCTTACTAGAAAATTGTCCAAGAACAAAACAGACGGCCAGAACTCACAGGTGTCAGTACTTACAGAAGACAGAAATTTCCAGCCTTGGAGGTAACAATAGGAACAAATGGGAACCAATTTCTATATTTGCCATTGTTGGGTTTCAGTCAAGCTCATCAAACAAAATACTGTGCTACATTTTAACATTTAGCAAGAACAACATTTAGTATGAACCATCTACACCTTGAAGACCCCACAGTTGCCAACATTTGGGGTTTATTTTTATCTGGTGGTGCTTATGGTGTTTCACTGGTAACACAGGAACCTAGCATAGTTGAGAGTCAGATAACATGGACACCTCATACTGGTGGGGTTATTATGAGTCGGTTTTTCACTTTAGGATAAAATTTTTGACAGTCTACCACAAACCTGTAAATGCTCGTTTCTATTGATGCACTGGTTTCACTTCCTAGGCATTTAACCTTAAAAAAAAAGATGTCCATAAAATGTATATATAAAGGGTCATTTTAATGTTTTGTGTTTTCTAAAAGTTAAAAAACAGCTAACCATGTGGAAACATTCAGATTATATAAAGTCTGACAGTGAATTGCCACACAGTCAAGAAAGACCACATCTCCACAAATGGATGACAGGAAGAGTTGCTCCCGCTGCTGGCCCAGCAGTCACCGGCAGGTCCCAGCTGTGTTTAGAGTGAGCACACGTGCAAGTGTGCATTGTAGAAAATGAGAGGTGGAGAGGACATGCAGAGATGCAATGTTGGCTGTCCCTGGAGAGTTGAGACAGCAGGACTTTTATTTTCTTGTCTTTCTGGTTTGTTTGTTTTTTAAATTTTAAGTGAACTTATAATATTTGAATTTTTAAAAAATCACAGGACCAGCAGATACCTTCATATTATGCTGTTAGTGGGAACTCTACTTGGGCTCATATTTAAGTGGGGATGTTAGGTTTGTAGGTGTTTCTGATTTGGAGCTGAGCTTCTTCCAATGGGCTTCTGAGCCTCCCACTTCCACTTTCTCTGCACCCTGAGCTCCTGGACAGTAGTGGGTGGGCTCCCACAGTTAGGACTCAGTGACTGCCGCCTCCCTTCACTCCCAGTTCTCCTGTGCAGAATGTGGCTTTCACGTTTAGGCCTTGATTTGTTTCCAGTTGGTCTCATCTGCCTATCTTTAGTCAGTATTTATATAGTTTGGCCAGGAGTTACAAGGAATTGCCATTGAGCTCAGTAGAGTCTCCTCTTGATAACTTACCAGCCCTCAGTTGGACACTGGGGTTTTAATCAGGATGTTCTCTGGGTGAATTAAACCAATGTTTTTAAGAGTTGGGTTTGATAACTCACAAAATTTCTAATGAAAAAAAATACCTTTTAATTTCATAAGTATTGTGTGCCAGCTCTAGAGAATATGTTATATAAGACTGATTCCATCCCTATCATTCTCAGAGCTTACACTCTAGTGGGAAAAATAGGAATTCAATAAGTAATTATATTGAAAAAAAGGAAACACCAGTATTAGGTACAGTGAAGGAGAAAGATGGGTATTTCCCTGAAAAAGAAACATGTGAGCAGAAACCATTTATGGAAAGAGGTATGCTGTTTTGTTCAAGATCATTACTGTTGTAAGTGGAATATCGGCTACTTCTAGATGACCTGTTATTTTTTTTTTAATTCTATATATATTTTTAATTTAATACATTTTTATTGTTCATATTATTATAACTGTTCCTCTTTTTTCCCCCATAGCACCCCACCACTCAGTTCCCACCCCACCCTCTGCCTTTACCTCCCCCACTGTCCTTATCCAAAGGTGTGCGATTTTTGCCCAGTCTCTTCCTGCACCTCCTACACCTCTTTCCTCCCAAGAATTGTCAGTCCACTACCTTTTTATGCCCCAGATTCTATTATATTCTGTTTTTTATTCACTTGATTTTTTTATTCACTTGTTGATAGATATGTATTTGTTGTTTATAATTTTTATCTTTTCCTTTTTCTTCTTCTTCCTCTTCTTAAAGAATGCCTTCAGCATTTTATATAATACTGGTTTGGTGGTGATGAACTCCTTTAGCATTTCCTGATCTGTGAATCTCTTTATCTACCCTTCAATTCTGAATGATAGCTTTGCTGGGTACAATAATCTTGGTTGTAGGTTCTTGCTATTCATCACTTTGAATATTTCTTGCCACTCCCATCTGATCTGCATAGTTTCTGTTGAGAAATCTGCTGACAATCATATGGATACTCCCTTGTAGGTAACTAACTGTTTTTCTCTGGCTGTTTTTAATATTCTCTCTTTGTCTTTTGCTGTGGCATTTTAATTATGATGTGTCTTGGTGTGGTCCTTTTTTGATTCCTTTTGTTTGGGGTTCTCTGTGCTTCCTAGACTTATAATTCTATTTCTTTCACCAGGTGGGGGAAGTGTTCAATCATTATTTCTTCAAATAGGTCTTCAGTATTTTTTTTGCTCTCTCTTTTCTTCTGGCACCCACATGATCCAGATGTTGGTATGCTTGAAGTTGTCCTAGAGGCTCCTTACACTATCTTCATATTTTTGGATTCTTTTTGCTTTTCTGTTTGGGTGTTTTTTGCTTCTTTGTATTTCAAATCTTTGACTTGATTCTTGCAATCCTCTAGTCTGCTTTATTTCAGTAAGTGTATGCTTAATTTCTAGTTGGTCCTTTTCCATATCCTTGAGGGTCTCTCTCATATCCTTGAGGATCTTACTAAATTTATCAGGCTTTTCTAGGAAATTCTTGAAAAACCTTATAACTATGGATTTGAACTCTATCTCCAGTCATTTTTTTCCCTCCATTTCTTTTATTTGTGATCTGTTTCTTTGTCTCCACATTTAGGCTGCTTCCCTGAGTTGATAGAGTGGCTTTGTGTGCTAGGTATCCAATCGGTCCCAGTGGCTCAGCCTACCCAGTTACCTGAGGTGGACATTCTTTGTTCACCCCTTTGTGGGCTGTGTGCCTTGATTGTTGTTGGTATCACTTGGGAGAATTGACATGCAGGTCAATTGGCTATGAGGATCAGCTGTGTCTACGCTGGGAGAACTTCTGTGCTGGAGACACCCTTATGAGACAAGACTTGGAAAAGCCTCTGTGCTCAGCTTGGATGGGGCAGAGTCTCAGGGCAGAGCAGACAACATTGGTTTTCCATCAGCCCTGCCCTAATAGGCCCACGTCTCAGTGTCCCATGGTAATCACTGCAAGCATCTCAGAGAAAGCTGCCCTCAAGTTCTACCCACTGCTAGACAGTCCAGTTTCTCCCCGAGTGAGTCTGGGTCCCCAGAGTCTTGCCCAGAACTGGAGTTCAGTGCAGTTGGGAGCTTTTGTCTCCCGCTTGAGAAAGCTAGCCTCATACTCAGTTGCCAGTCCTTTCCATGTGTGCACATCTGTACCTCTGCCTCCTACAGCTCCTCTGAGTCTCAGTGTGCTTTTCTCTTTCCTTCTAGTTGTAGAATTTCCACTCAGCCAGCTTTCCTGTGGTTCTTGATGATGTCCATTTTGTCTTGTAGATATAGTTTTGAAATTGTGCAAGGCAGCAGTTTAGGTGTTTATCTATGCCGCCATCTTGGTTTCTCCCTGATGACCCGTTATTTTTCAGGCATTTCTCAGATAAGTCAGTTAGATCATAATCTCACCTCTCAGTATCTTTCACAAAATAGCAATATACTAGCAAATGGCAGGTTGCTCGAGAATTGCTAACCTCTCTGTGTTTTTTAGCCGACAAACTGAGCCACCAAAGAAGGAGGCAGTCTCCACTGGGCCACAGGTGAAGCGAGCAGATGAGTGGAAAGACCCTTGGCGCCGGTCCAAGTCTCCAAAGAAGAAACTTGGAGTATCGGTCTCCCCTAGCCGTGCACGAAGGCATAGAAAAACATCAGCCTCATCGGCCTCTGCCTCCAATTCCTCCAGGTAAGGAGGCAGGCTATGCATAAACACCACAGGAATTATATTGTCGTGGCCTGGCGAGAAGTCAGTAAGACTAAGCAGGCATTTGTTGGTCTCAACTTACTGAGTAACTGGGTGCTACTGCATTAGCAGCAAACTAGACTGGCACTTAGAACCATGTTACAGCTTCACATATTGAGAACAGCCAGGATTCGAGCAACTCACAGTGGAACACAGACCTGGCCAGTGAACCAGGGGGCGGTGTCAGGGGGTGTTTGTCTGGGGAGAATGCTTGGCTGAGTCACTCCGGGAAAGACACTGAGAGGAGAGACCAACGGAACAATTTATTGTGGGAGCCAGGGTTAGCAGCTCTGAAACCTGTGTATATACTAGCTCTGCGCAAACAAGTGAGGATGTCATGGATGGTGAGAGTTGGATCTTTTTCCTGCCAGAGAGAGACACTACAGATCAGAGAGGGGGAACCCAGGGGAACCACAGTGTTAGACCGGAACTGGAAATGTCATTGTGGTGTCAGGGTTCACTACATGTACAGTTGGACAGATAGAGAAATATATAGACACACAAGCACACATATCCTGGCTCTATACACTGACGGCCTGGGAGCTGTGTCACAGCAACAGTGAGATACATAAAACAAAATGAAAAGATAACAGTGAGATACCCAGTATCCAGGTCTTGGTTTCTAAACACCATTCCCACCAAAAGGAGGGTGGGACTAAGCATGTCCACAGGGGTGTCCAAAGGGCAGGTGTGTCTGTATGAGTGTGGTGAGTATGTCTATGTGTGTTTATATGAGTGCGGGGGATAAATCTTTGTGTATGTATCTGGGTAGGTGTGTGTGTGGAGGTGGGTATATCATCGTGAGTATATCTGTGTGGAGCGGGTGTATCTGGGTGGGTGTGTCTATGGGGGGGATGTGTCTAGAGGGGTGTATGTGGGTGGGTGTGTCTATGGGGGGATGTGTCTAGAGGGGTGTATGTGGGTGGGTGTGTCTATAAGGACAGCAGGCCTGGTATCAGTGGGCAGGACTGGGTGGAAAAAGACCTGGTCTCTCTTCTCTCCCCCTTGATGCTCTAGGTCGTCTTCACGGTCCTCCTCCTACTCTGGCTCTGGTTCGTCCAGGTCTCGGTCCCGGTCCTCATCCTACAGCTCCTACTCTAGCCGGTCTTCCAGACACAGCTCCTTCTCAGGCAGCCGGTCCAGGTATGTTCCCACAGCTTATTGGGTGTGGTGAACTTGGGCACCTCTGGTTGTGGCCCAAGTCTCTATTGTGTGTGTGTGGTGCATATCTGGGTGGGTGGGTATGTCTGTGTGGCATGTCTCTATCCTGACAGTGTTCTTCCAGGTGCTGCTGTTTTCAGAATAATCTCACCAAGTTACGTGTCTTGTGGTAAATTCTACGGAATACACAGTGAGGGGCCAATTAACAAACTGCACACACTGGGAAATCTTAACATCCAGTGCATATCAGGGGACACAGAACCTTTGGAGGCATGCTAAAATCAGAAATCAGGCATCACACACATAAACACACACACACACACACACACACACACACACACACGCTTCTTTGAGAAGCATATCACCAAATGTCTGGGGAATGAGTGGACCTGTTTATTTTGCAGTGTTTGTGTCCCACAGTGGCACTATTTCCTGGCAGCTAATCTTACTGTAGGGCGGCTGTTAAGAGGACTAGAACAGCATTAGATTATTAGAGCTGTTAAATCTGGAGGTCAGGTTAACATTTTAAGTGGGCTGTAGAAAAAACAGTAGATGATATGTGGGCCTGTTTTCCATGAATGTTGAATCTTGTGCATATTAATAACCTTGAAAAAGAAAAGCAAACCTGTGGCTTAGTAGATTGGGCGTTGTCCTATGCACCAAAAGGTTGCTGGTTCAATTTCGGGTCAGGGCACATGCCCAGGTTACAGGCTCAGTCCCCAGTACGGGCATGCAGGAGGCAGCCGATGGATGTTTCTCTCTGATTGGTGTTTCTGTCTCTCTCTCCCTGTCTCCCTCTCTCCGCCTCTCCCTCTTTAATTTTCTTTTTTTTTATATATATATATATATTTTATTGATTTTGTACAGAGAGGAAGGGAGAGAGAGAGTTAGAAACATCGATGAGAGAGAATCATCGATCAACTGCCTCCTGCACATCCCCTACTGGAGATATGCCTGCAACCAAGGTACATGCCCTTGACCGGAATCGAACCCGGGACCCTTCAGTCTCCAAGCCGACGCTGTATCCATTGAGCCAAACTGGTTTCGGCCTCTCTCTCTTTTCATTCCTCTCTCTTTTAAAAAAAAAAAAAAATCAATAAAAATATATTTTACAAATAAAGAAAACCTTTTTCTCAGGGGTCTAGAGGGTCAGCTATGGGTCCTAGGGCCTCATGATTTCCTTTCGGAAGTTGAAGCAGTACCCAGAACAGCTGCCGGTCATGGAGCAATCATGGAATGCTGACTGTAGGAGATGAGGTGAAAGACAGAAAGCTATTGATCAGAGCATCAACAATGGGAGAAACCTTGTATGGCTTCATTTAAGAAACTAGGCTGGAAAGCTGCAGGAAGAAGCTTGAGACTAAGCTGGGAAACTTAGAAACATTAGAAATCACATGTGGAGGTCACCTACAGTTTTTCTTGGATGTGTTCTATGGACACGAGGAGAGATTAAGAAGGCCCCATGGCATTAAGTCCCTAAGGTCAGGGACAGGACTGAGACAGCTATGACAAGACCCATGGCAACAAACAGGAGAAAGAACCATCCTCAGCTTGGTGGGCTTACCAGCCTCTTCATGCTGAGTTAGGTGTGGAGGGGAGGGGGCTGCAAGCAGGAGAGTCGGTGGAAACCTGGCTGCGCTCTCAGGAGGTGGACCCCAAGGAGGATGCTTGGCTTCCTCATCACCCAGATCTAAAGAAACTCCACTCAGGATGTAGCCTGTGTACTGGACCAGTTTCAGGATGTTTTCTGTTTGGAAATAAACTTCTTAGCCATTTCCACAAAATTAGGTGCACTTTTTCTCCACTTTCCCTTCCTCTTGACTTGTGTTTATACTGTTCCAATGTCCATCACTGAGCACACTTCTCCCCTGGCTCCAGGCCTCTGCTGGCTCCTGGGCAGGCCCAGGTGGTACCTGAGAAAATGAGCAGAGTGCCACCCTGCAGCACACCAGGTGGGCATTGGCTATGCAGCAGCCTTCTGAGGAATGGGACCCAGGAATGAGGTTACTCTGAAGAGGTGACCACCCCTCCACGTGGTGATTCCGGGCTGCACAGTGTTATAGAAGCTTCTTGGAAGTGAGCCTGGCATTCCTTCCTGTCTCCCATGGCAGGCTGCCTAGCCAAAGGCAGTGAGTGTGAAGATAGGAGAAATGAGCATTTTTCCTATGAAGCTCTGTCTCTCTATATTGCAGCACATGTGACTGCAAAAGCCCTGATCTTAGTTTAGCTGTTGGTGTTTCTTGGCTGAAAGTTTTACGTGACCATTTCCATTTCTAAGTAGAAGAAAAATATAGCAAACCCATAAACCTTTTAAAGGTTGGCTTCTTTGTGATGTTGTGTGAATCCTAAATGGTAGGGCCAGCAACCTGGCCAGGCCATGCTTCCACCTCGTCCAGCACCCCTTTCCCAGGACTTCGTCATCCTTCTGACCCCTGCAACTTGTATCCAAATGAGCTCATCACAGTTTCCTTTAGCTGTAACACTCCCCGGGCCAGACAAGTCTCTGCCACATCTGTTCGTGGGCCTGTGCTGCTGGCCATTCTTGTGGCCACTCCCACCTTCCAGCAACCTGAGTGTCAGGTGTCCCACTGGGCCTTCCATTTCTCCCATGTTGCCATGGCCCGGTCAGGCTGTGTCTCCTCGTTATGATTTCATATACACACACAGAGCAGAGCCTGTGCCCTTCCGGTCCTGCTCACGCTCACATGCCCCATGGCTCAGGGCCTCAGAAGGACTCAGCAGTGCTGTTAGCTGCTATCCCCTCAGCACTCTCCTTTCCCCTCTGGCGATGTACTCTATGAAATGACCAAAAATTGTCTAAAATCCTGTAAATAAGTAGGAATCTGAGGCAAATAAGTAGAAATTCATGTGGTGTTCTCTGTGAATTTGAGGTGGCATCCCCAGCATGCTCAGACTTGGACAAGGGCACTGTGGTGCTCCCTTTTCACAGTTCTGTTTACTCTCTAGGTCCCGGTCCTTTTCCTCATCCCCGTCTCCCTCTCCAACACCTTCTCCACACAGACCTGTCAGAACCAAGGGGGAGCCAGCTCTGCCTCCCGGGAAAGCAGGGTAAGTGCCTTGTGGTCAGGCTGGGCTGGCAGCATCCGGCCTTCTCCCTCCCTCACATTTCATATGTGGAAAAGTCCTTGGGAACTCTAGATAGGACCCCTAAAGGTGGACGTGTAGCCCTAACGGCCATGTACTATTTGGGGTGTGTAATGTCCATGCTCCTTAGGATTCTAAGCAAGTGCAGCCACCAGCCCCACTCTTACTAGGCAGGCAGATAGGAGGAGGTTCCTGCCATGCTCAGCCCCAGGGCTGTGTCTGCAGTGCATGAAAGGGAGCTGCCTGCCAGACTCTGCCTCCTCTTCCCCTTTGCTGCTCATGGGAGAAGTCAGAAACATAGAGAACTGTACCATCACCTAACTTCTGTAACACCTGACGTGCAGTGTTTCAGCCAGGCACTTTAGGGAGGTCGATAGTTAATTCTCTGTGACATCAATCCTGTCACCTAAGGGGCAAGGCAGCCTCTGTGTGAGCAGACTGGACCTGCGTGCCTGCCTTGGGCTCTGTCCTTGCCATAATCCCTGCTTCCTGACTTGTTCTTATAGTAGTTACTTATTCAGTGGGGAAAGAGCCCACACCTGCTGTATAACAGGCATTGAAAAGCTGCACACTACAAGTGTTTTATCCTAAATGGAGTGAGCTAAAAGGTCTCAGAAACATTTGGAAATCCTGAACAGCTCACTTTCATAAATGAATCGTATTGAGGAATAATTTTTGTGCAACACAACTCATCCATCTACATTTTACCATTCAGTGCGGGTTAACAAACCTGTGAGACTGCATAATCCAGATACTCCAGCCCCTGCAGTGGCTGTTTCCCTGGTAGGACTTCACACACAGAGTCACGCATGACGCATGCTTTGCTTCTGCATTTTCATCAGCAAAGATTTGACTCATTTGACACTGTGCTTTTGACCAAGACTCTGTTTGCTGCTGAGATCACTTTGTTGGCAGAGTCTCTGATAGGTACATGCTCTGTACTCCATCTGAATCAGGAGTGCTCAGCACCACCAAAATGATTAGCAGATATTTAAAAAAACAACAACAAAAAAACACACGTAGGGAACTGTTTTCTTTGGTGTGGTTTCCACATGTGAACATGCTGCAGCACCCTCAAAGGGCCACCCCACATGCAGGACAGGAGGTTTGGGGGAGCACAGCGCCAGCTCTCTGCGATTCTCAAGAACTCTCAGATGAGCCATCTTGCTTCTGATGCACCTCCGGCTCCTGCCTGTGAGGAGAAGTAGGCCTATAGCTTCAGAAACATTCCAAGAGCCTGGTGTGATATGGGACCAACAGCCCACCTAGCCTTCCTGGCGATGCACCCTGGGTCACACCCTGAGGTCGTTTGCTGGGCTCCTCCACCAGGTCTGACTTCCTTGCATCTCATGACACAGAGAGAAGATGGTAAAGAAGCCAGCCCCACCTCCAGCCCCACCACAGGCCCCCAAGACCACTGCCCCCACCCCTGAGCCTGCCAAGCCGGGAGACCCTCGGGAAGCCAGGAGGAGGGAACGCCAAGCCAGGACCCCTCCCAGGAGGTAAGCACACGACTCTCACGGAGCCTCGTGGGGATTTCTGTATCTTTGGTGCAAGGGCTAGGGGAGGGGATCTCCTGGACAAAGCAACCCAGACCAGGAACCCATTCTATCCCTGATCTGTGAGGTTTGGACTAGTTATGCCACCTCACTGAGCCTATTTCCCCATCTCACTGCTCCACCTGAGGAGGGAAGGCACTCCCTTGACAACCAGAATCCGTCCTGGAAAGAGGCAGTTTTGGGGGGGGGAATGGTAGGGGGGACAGAGGGGACACTAAAGAGTAGTTTATTTTACTTTTTGAGGGGGGAAAAGTACACATAAAAGAAAAATAGAGCTCTACCCACATCTGGGTCTGTGGCAAGTTACTTGTTAAACATCTGTCTTGGGCCAGTGATTGGCCCTAGTTTTGAAGAGAGTGTCTGCCTTTTGTCAAGTCTGCAGAGATGTGAGTGATGGGACTTTTGATTGTGTTGCAGGCGGACCATCAGTGGCAGTGGCAGCGGCAGCAGCTACAGCGGCTCTAGTTCCAGATCCAGGTCATTGTCAGCATCTCTCTGGCCCCCGTCCTCGTCAACTTCTTTGCCCTTTCTCCTGCCTCCCAGTCAAGATCCAGGACCTTAGGAGAGGTCCCCGCCGTGTGAGGCTTTCTCCCCTCAGGCAGCCTGTGGCTAACAGCTGATAGCTGTCAGTCAGTGCTGTTCAAGAGCAGCGTGGTTGGCTGGCTATCTCCACCTGGACACAGAGAAGAGAATGGACTGATGCTCACAGAATAGGGAGCCTGGTCTAATGGTTCCAAGCATGTGGAGGGGCTGGGACACCCTCTGTCCCCATAAGCACCTGGCGGGCTTGAAGCCAGGGTGCTCCCAGTTCAGCAGGATTGAAAGAGATTAACATGGAGGCTTCATGCTCGTTTTGTGTGGAGTGTTAGGTTCTGCACTGTCCTGTGTGCCTGAGGCAGCTAGGGACAGCCAATTTTTTTTAATCTGAGAAAATAATTGGAAAAGAATTCTGTTATTTGGGTGTTTCAAAAGAAGACAGTATTGATCAATCCTTAAATCCCTTAAGTTGAACTTTCTCTTATTTCTAGGCAGCAGGTAGTTTATGTACATTACCCAAATCTTTCTAAAGACCTAATCTTAAAAGAAAAAAAAGTATTGGGCTCTCTTTCTTTCCCCCTCCATTGTCCAGCAATTGATAATTTTAGGGAACAGTGCTTGGTCTTTTCTCAGAGTTAATGAGAGAGTACTCAGCAGACACTGATATAGCAGCTTTGTGCATATCAAGTCCTCATGCAGTGTGGGCTGTGAAAGAACCAAGGACCCGTGAGATTGGCCGTTGTTGCATACTTTCCTGAGACATGCAATGGGTTAAGTGATCTCCCATCTAGTGTCTGATGTCTGCGGGTTGAAGCTCTCTCAACCAGGGCTCTCAGTTCTGTCATCACTAACTCTTGAGTCACGCTTAGTCATATGTCCTTGTCCAGCAAATAGCGTGAGCATCTCCACACTATGAGGCACCTTTTTAAATTACCCCGAGTCCCCTCTGAAATTTCAGGTTTTCCTTAAGACTGTGAATTGGGAAAAAATAGACATAAACACACCACCACCACCCAATCAACCCGTCCTCAGTCGGGGACATGCAGGCACAAATGGCCTTTTATATGTCTAGGTCCCTGAGTGTGAGCAGTGTCTCCTCAGTGTCCAGCGCTACATCAAGCAGCAGCTCGGTGCACACCGTGGACTCGGACGACATGTATGCAGACCTGGCCAGCCCTGTGTCCTCAGCCAGCTCACGGTCCCCCACCCCAGCCCAGACCAAGAAGGAGAAAGGTATGGGGGCTCCTTGTGTCCTACCTGTTATGGCTCCAGAGGAAAGGCAGGCTCTTCATGTAAAGAGGGTGCATGTAGCCTCTGTCAGCACTGAGTGCAGCTGGTCAGACCCCTGCACACATGTTGCCTTCTTGATAATGCACCACTCCACCAAGTGGCACTCCACAAGAGAAGCCACTGTGGTATCAGTGACAATGACCAAGCATTTTTTGTCAGCAGGAAAATCTAAAAAAGAAGACGGCGTTAAAGAGGATAAACGGAAAAGGGACTCATCCACACAGCCACCCAAATCCTCAAAATCTTCCACAGGCAATAAATCCTCCCAGCAGCCCACAGCCCCTCAGCAGGCACCCTCTGGGCAGCCCCAGCAGGGTGCTTTTGTGGCACACAAGGAGATCAAGTTGACACTGCTGAACAAGGTGAGGCCCTGGGCACACCTGGTGAGAGCTCCAGGGAGCCACTTACCTTCGGCTCATCCTGGGACTGAGACCAAGTGGGGACCAAGTGGCCATTTGAACTTGGTGGCCAGGTATCACCCCTGCTCATCTGCCTGCCTTGATGGTCAGTCCTGTGGGAAACAGAGAGGCGTGTGGGCATAGGGTAGATGGGTTCTATAGCATGTCCTGAGACATTAGAGCATCCCCTGGCGGATGCTCTCCCTGTCCTGAGAACCCACACTCTTCGCCCTCCTCCCTGTGCCTGGGCTGGCCAGTTCCCACAAGTCAGCACTGGGACAGAGCAAAGCAAACTTGGCTTCTGTGAGTTGATGTTTCCAAGGCCCCATGGGACCTGAAGGGCAAGAGGTTGAGTCTGCTAGAGTCCTTTCCCTGGCTCGTGACCCCCACAGTGAGCACAGCATCTTTGCTGCAGAAAATGAAGACCCCAAAACCATGGGCCTTGCTTGCTTCACTCACACTGCGAAGAGGGAGCCAGAAGAAGGGAACAGGTCCTGGTGTGAGGATGTCACACTATGTTCCTTTCACTGTGTTTTGCCTGGTGGCCAGTAGCTCAGACCCTGTGTCCTCACTGTGCTCCCTCCATCTTTTCAGGCCGCTGATAAAGGGAGCAGAAAGCGATATGAGCCCTCAGACAAGGACAGGCTAAGCCCTCCTCCAGCCAAGCGGGCCAACTTATCCCCAGACCGAGGTGAGCTCAATCCCTGCAGGGGCCTGGCGGGTGCAGGGACCAGGACCTCATCCATTATTTTAAAATAAGGGCCCCAAGGAACCTCTCTGGTTTTGTGAATTATCAGCACAGTATTAGAAGTTAAAACTAAGAAAAAGTTTTACTTTTTTTCAATGTTTTTATTAATTTCAGAGAGGCAAGGAGAGCAAGAGAGAGATAGAAACATCAATGATGAGAATCATTGATTGACTCCTGCACGCCCCCTACTGGAGATCTAGCTCGTGACCTTCTGGTCCATAGGTTGATACTCAACCACTGAGCTACACAGGTCGGGCTTTAATATTTATTTATAAACTATACTATTTGAACACAAATAACTTTTTTTTTTTTTTCATGAAGAATAACTAGGAGTGGCGTTGTTGTTTTTCTTTAACATCTGATTGGCAGATAATGACGGGGTTCGCATCTCCTGTGATAGTACAAAACACGAGGGCTCCGGAAACACCCTGGGCTGTGGGAAAGGAGGGCACAGTGAGTGGGCAGGGGCTCGGTGTTAGTGAAAACAGTCTGGTTGCTCAGTGTCTGTTTAGATGCTAGCCCAAATTGGAACTCCGATTTCGGGGTTTTCCTGGGCTCTCAATCTGACAGGATCAGAGCTTCCCCTTCCTCCTTTCTCACTGGTTCTGCTCTTCTGCTGCTTCCTTTAAAAATGAGGAAACTGTGCTGATCTGTCACGGCTCTTTGGAATGGGGGCACTAGCATCAGTAAGGCTGCACCAGATCATATGTAAGTTGGACCCTGGTCTTACGTTATCCCAGGTTCTCGGGACCGGAAGTCAGGTGGGAGATTGGGCTCTCCCAAGCCAGAACGGCAGAGAGGCCAGAATTCCAAGGCTCCTGTGGCCCTGCCAGACAGGTGAGTGCTTGCCTGCGCCATGGCCATACTACGTTGGCCCCTTTGCTCCGTAGACCCAGAGGTACCTGGGGAATGTCTTAGATCTGGAGGAAAGAAACCAAACACATGTCTCACTCTACACCCTCCCCCGCCCCTCCCCTTCCTGCATTGGGCCCTGGAATGAGGAGCAGCCTAAGGCACTCAGTTCACAGCCTGAGGTGGGGTGCAGGTGGTCACAGCTCTTGTATCTTTCATTTCAGGCATAGGAAATAGAGTAATTTCCCCAGGAAGTCAGCTCTGAGTCCCTGTGCCCCTACACCATGCAGTTCACGGTCAACGGTTGGGTGAGGGAAGATATGGGGAGGGCAGGCATAGGACTCAGAGAGTGGTACAACCCTCCACACTCACATGGGCCCAAGGCCTCAGGGGCCCTCCTAAGTCAGCAGTATGGCCACAGAGGGAAGTTGTATACAAAGCCCAGAAGCAGGAGGGACAGGGTTTGGCTTGACGACACTTCTTGACCATTCACTGGGTAGAGGATGCCTTGTACCTGGTGGGTATAGCTTATAGGCTTACAGGGTCCAGGTCCCCAGACTGGGCCTCATGTCCCCCACCTGGCAGGAAGCTCAGCAGGGAGAGACAGGCACTTGGATCCCTCTAACAACCTCCCCACCCTCACAGGAAGCGTCAACTGTCGCCCCAGTCCAAGAGCTCCAGCAAGGTCACAAGTGTGCCTGGTAAAGCCTCAGACGCCGGCACCGCCGCCTCCGCGGGCACCAAATCAGGGAAGGCCAGCACGCTGTCGAGGCGGGAGGAGCTCCTAAAACAACTCAAAGCCGTGGAGGACGCCATTGCTCGCAAGCGGGCCAAGATTCCCGGGAAAGTATAATGGGCCTCTCGGGCTCGGCTCCCCCGCCAGAGGCAAAGACTCATGTGTTTTTATAAATAGGGTAAGCGCAGCCATTTTGGATTTTGCAGTTAATGTCTTATTTTGGCTGTGATTCTTTTTAAAAATTAAAAAAGAAAAAAAAGTTTCTCAGCTGGAAAAGAAGCCACACACCATAATGAAGATGACGCTGAACCTCAGCCTTCTCCCGACCACACTGACCAGTCCTTCCCAGAGCAGAGACAGGCAGGCAGGCAGACAGCACCGAGCGAGGACATGGCACAGTTTTATGTAAATTTTAAGTCCCAGATGCCCGGATCAGCCGGCCCATACATTTTTTCTTCCCCATCTTCTTTTCCTCCCTCTGTTAGTCAGGCGAGTTCGCGCCCTGCTGTGTGCCGTGTCCTCACCACACGGCTCTCCTACTGTGGACAGGAACACCTAGTGCTACTGAGCAACCTCTTCCCCACCCCTGCCCATCCCCAGGATCAAAAATATATATATATATTCTTGACTAAAGTCTGACTGGGAAATAGTTCCTGTCTTTTATTTTAAGCATCAAATTGTTTTAGTTGATTTGAAAATGAAAATATACAGAAAAGACCAAAAAAAAGGCCATGGGTATTGTTGGGCGTCTGTCTAATGTGGAGGGTCTTTTTTTGAAGGGTCTCCTAAAATAAAAATATTTTGATAAGCAGCTATCTTGCCCTGGTGGTGCTGTTTGCATGTGCCTTGGCTCCATACCCTCTACCCTCCCATGGCATGGGGCCCGGCCACCTCACGACATCTGCTGGGCCCACCTGCTATTTAGGGGCCCATGGCTGCTGGAGGCTGAAGACATGGAGTTCAGCAGAGGCCCCTGTGCCATTGCCTGGAGCCTCCAACCCAGAATGGAATTGTTCACTCGCCTGTTAGCCCAAGCACTGGCCACGGCCCCCAGGGAGTGCTATTCCTCAGTTTCTTCCCAGTGGGACTGGCCCTAGTGGGGCTTCATGGACACCTTTCCCAGCAGAGGGCCCTGGGGCTACAGAAGTCAGAAGGGTGTTCCTCAGGCCAGGCTGTAACATCCATCCCCAAAGCCAGTTCCCCCCTCAGAGCCTTAGATGCACCATCCAGTCCCCACACATCACTCCATCCGTCCATTGCAGAGCAGAAATGTCAGCAGTTTGTTGTGTTTTTTTAAATATATTTTATTGATTTATTTTTTTTTACAGAGAGGAAGGGAGAGGGGGAGAGAAACATCCATCAGCAGCCTCCTGCACATTCCCCACTGGGGATGTGCCCACAACTAAGGTACATGCCCTTGACCTGAATCGAACCTGGGACCCTTCATTCCGCAGGCCGACGCTCTATTCACTGAGCCAAATGATTAGGGCAGAAATGTTAGCATTTCTGAGAGCAGCAGCTGATATCTCCAGGCAGGGCATCCTGGAGAGCCCCAGTGGGGCCACGACCAGGGTGGGGATGGGGAGATCCGAGTGCTCACTCAGGGTTCTTCCTGGTGGAATTAAACTCAGAGTGGTACACTGGGCCTCTGGGTGCCCTGCCACCCTGAGGTTATCATATAGCAAGTACCATAAGGACTTGTGGACAAAATGCCCCCCAGTTCCCGTTCTGCTTCTCTTCTCCATTCTTTGCCAGCTCCATGGCAGTCCCCTGCCAGCCTGTAAGGACCCTGCAGGGCCAGTGTCAGGAGGCAGCAGTCTGGGGTTCTCATCTCTTGCCTGAGCTGTGACCAGCTTACAGGGTGCATTCCACGGCGCCCTGCCCCACAGCTACACGGCAATTACACCGACAAGAGAGCTTGGAGGGGGCCAGTGGGCTGTGGGCTGGCCATGCAGCCAGGGCTCCCGAGTGTACTGTTTTCATCTCATGTCTGCCCCTCCCACAGCAGATGACAGCAGATACCTCTTACCTCACAGCAGCTTCAGTCAAGTTTTAAAGGCTTATCTGGTTTGCCATTAGATCAAAGCCAAGCAAAGGGAATTCCCATTTTCTGAATGAGTAGCTTTCAAGGACACCGAGTCAGGGCACCTTTGAGTGCCAGCCTGTCCCTGTGAGTTCTGTGCCCCAAGCCATTAGGTCCTGCAGTCCAGCTGGGGCAGCAACTGTCCCTCAGCCAGGAGTCCGCAGGTGAGCCCACTATATAGTCTGCCCACAGCCCTCCTTGCTCACCCCACCAGCCCCTTCTGGTCCCAAGAGGCTGACCTGATCCTGACCTCTAATGCCTAGGCTGGAGCCATAGCACTATGTCCCTTTGACCCAAGCTAGGTTTAAACTAGGAGCTCATCTGGGCTAGGCTGGGCAGGTGGCTGTCTTGGGAGGGGCGAGGACCACACCCCAGAGCCAACTTTCCTCTCCCAAGGTCTAGAGGAAGACAGTCCAGATCAGGCAGCTGAGGGAAGGGAGGTCTCTGCTGTTTGTTGGGATCCTTGGGCATTTTTGCCCTCCAGGGAATGAGGACTGATCCTGACAGGTGGTTAACATGCAAATAATGGGAATAATTGTGGGTTTCTCAAGTTCCATCTCTGTCCACCAGACTGCTTTTCAAGTCCAGACCATTGTGGATCCCTTCCTGCTAGTCCTCACTCCACAGCCAGAGCGACTGCAGATGCTAACCCCCCCCTACCTGCCTATCATTTCTTCCACCCTAGGGCCTTTCCTAGAACTCTGAGCTGCCTGACTCGTCCTGTTCCTCTCAGCTCAGGCAAGCTGGCCCCATCCCCTCGGCCCCTCCATTGTCTGCTGCCACAGCACTGTTCTCAAGTTAACCCGGGAAGCACTAGGCTGGAAGCTCCTAACACTAGTCCTTGAGGAAGGGGTCGGGTCTTGATTTCCATCTCCCAGCCCCTGCTGTTTCCCTCAAATCTTGGGCCTCCACCTGCCCCCTCTCTGCCCACTTCCCAGCTCCATGACAATTCCCCTGCCAATTTATAAGCCCCAGGAGCTCTGGCTGAAGGCCAGGCCCTGGGTGAACAAGCAGGAACCCCTCTTCCCACTCTGGACAGGATCCCCTTGGACAGGATGAGGTAAAGAGGTCATTCCTGGCAGCGCAAAGTGCTGTGGGAACAAGAAAACTGGGCTGTGGGATAGACTGACTAAAGGCAGGGCTGCCTGGGGCTGTGGTTGGGAAGGGGGAGCCCCACTTTACAGATTAGCAAACTGAGTCCTGCTGGTGGGCCTCCCTCCAGGATATGAGAAAACTTTAAGCCTAGAGCCCAAAGAGCCTGGAGCAAACCCCTCTTGCAGGCCCACTTGACTGCTTCTGTCCAGTCAGGGTGGGAAAGGCTCCGAGCCACTGGCTGGGCCACACCCTAGGTACTTGATGTGTCTGTCCCTGTTCTCCTGTTTTTGCCTTCCCTCCTTAGCCTTTGCCTTTTCTCTCTTCCCTGCCTTTCCTCTGCCAATCTGTTCCTGGGCACCTGTCTCTATCCATTCCTCCTTCTAAATCTCCTCACACATTCTTCCTGTATCTCCATCCTCTTGGTTGTGTGTCTCTGGGACTTGGGGAGCGTGGCCATCGGGGTGTGGCACAGTGGGCGTGGTTTGAGGGGGGTCTTCCCAACACCACCTTCTGGATCCCTCCTGCCTTCCTCTGGCAGTGCCTTTCCAGTCTTGCCCAACTTGGGACTTCTGCACTTGCCTCAGCAGCCCAAGAATGAGGCACCGCCCCGGTCCGCCCTGTGCCCTTCTGGCCTCGGCAGGCATTGCTGATCCCCTGACTCTCAGTCCCTGGGCCAACTTCCTCCAAGAAACTAGCCTTCAGGCCTCTGGGGAACTGCGCTGAGCGCTCCCGAGGCCCATCGTGAGGAAGAATGAGTATGAATTCAGGGTTGAGTTTCCTCCACGCAGTCAGCTGTTCAGAACAGAAACAGGAACACAGAAAATGCAGACACCCTACCGGATTGGCCTGGACACCCCCTGCTCCCCCTGCTGGACTCAGGCACAAGCAACAGTTTTACAGCCTTTTCATTTCCTAATTGAGCATCTGCATGAAAGCAGCTCAACTTGTCAGCCCAAAGGAAGAGCACTGCTGCCCACTGGCCTCTCCCTCGGCTCCCTCCAGCTCAGCCTCAGCTCTGGGCCTGCCTGCCTCGCCAGCATGAGCCTCCTAGTGCCCCTGCATGGGGCACATTGTCACCCTGTTTTTCCCATGGGGGCGCCCAGGCTTATCTCCCTTTTGTCCTGCTGTTTTAATGAAGCACCTAAGTACCTGGGAGGGTGTGTTGGGGTCATTATCCCTGTCCTCAGGGTTCACACTACCTTTGGGGGCAGCAAGAAAGGGCTGGAATTTTTCTGAGATCCAAGTGCCCTAGCAGGAGGACAGGTCTCAGTCCAGCCCAAGAAGGGTCTTTCTCTTGACCTGACCTAACCCACCTGGTAGAGGGAGTACTGGGCTCAGTTGTGTCCCCCTAAAAAATATGTTGGAGTCCTAGCCCCGGCACCGGTGAGGAATGTGTCCTCATCTGAGAAGTGGGTCTTTGCAGACATAAAGTATGAGTCTTGAAATGAGAACATCCTGGATTAGACAGGGTCCTGATAAGAAAGACAGACACAGGGGGAGGGCCATGTGAACAGGAAGGCAGAGTCTGCAAACCAAGGACTCCAAGCATCCCCAGCAGCCACGTGCAGCAGGAAAAGGCAGGAAGGAGCCTCACTGAGCACCCAGAAGGAACCAACCTGCTGACACTTTGTGTTTTGATTTCTGGCCTCCAGAACGGTGAGAGAATCATTTTCTGTTGCTTTAAAGCCTCCCGGTTTGTGTGATTGCGGCAGCCCTAGCAAACTAATGAGAGGGTGAGCTTCGCATTGCAGGAAGCACGCAAGCAGAGGGTGGACGGGTAGGGGCACAGTAGGAGAGGCCATCCTGGGGACTCGGTGCATCTCTCCACCCATCCACCCATCGTTCAGAATAAGCCTCACCCGCTCCCCGGCGGGCAGCTTAGCCCTGCTTACAGGTGCAGATACTGAGGCCCAGAGAGGGCAAGTCCTCGCCCAGAGGCACACCCTGCTGAGTGGAGAAGCTGGGAGAGCCCCGGGGACCAGGGGCTTCTTGGGCCCTCACTCAGGGGGTCTCCATGCCCATCAGTTGTGCAGTTTCAAATTTAAAGAGAATGGCCATGTAATGGTATGTACATCCCGGCACCTGCCAGCAGCAAAGAAAGACACCCATCCCTCCTCAGACTCCTCAGCTGGACATTTTAGACTGATTTGAGAAGACCAGGAGAGACAGGCCCTCAGCCTGGACAGTGCCCAGACCCCAGGCAGCCCTCTCCAGGATAACATTCGAAACCCTGCAAGATCTGGCTCCAAACTCCTTTTCCGGATGACAAAGGCAACCCCAGCACCCCTCTTCCCTCCAGCAGCACTGAGCGGGTGGGATGCAGGTTCCTGGGGCCCCCTTACATAAAGCCTCCTGACACAGGTGCACTGCGCTTTATGTCCAAGGTACGCCTGGCCTGTGTGCTGTTGGTGGGTGTGTCCACCGGTACACCAAGACGTGGCAATCCATTCCCCATCAGGGCATGTGCAGGAGGCAGCCAATCAGTGCTTCTCCCTCCCTTCCCCTATAAACAAACAAACAAACAAACAAACAGTTTCCAAGGCATTTTCATCCCCTCCATCTCAATCATTTTAGCTTGAACTTTTGTTTAAGGGAAAAAAGGAAGGAAGGCAGGGAGGGAGGGGAGGAGAGAGGAAGGAAACAGATGCCCAAATACAAGGTGGGGCTTCAGTAGGTTTACAGTTGTTCATATGAAAAATAATGCAATAATTAATTAGTAATAATAAAGCATAAGCTATGTTTTGAATACAACTGTAAACCTACCTTTGCCCACCCTGTACAAACCTGAAGATGCCCACTGGCCCAGCCCCCGTCTCTCCTGGAGCTTCTCCCACCGGTGCAGGTAGATAGATGCTGGTTCGCCTGATCTTGATCATCTTAGATAAAAAATGGCACCAGCCTCATGTCCCCTGACAGGACAGGAGAAAGCAATCCCGGAGGAGCACTGCTGCAGTGTGGGATGAGCAGGCTTCACCCAGGTACCCAGGTCAGCAGGTCCAGATAGTAAGGACATACCAGTGGGATCAGAGAAGCAAGCTGCCGAAGGCTCAGTAAAAACCCTTTTACAGAAAGTTCAACCCTTTTACGTAGGCAGGACCTGTTTTCAACTCCATCCTCAGGTGCCTAGCCTGGGGCGGAGTCCCTCCGAGTGGAGGAGGGAGAGTAAGTGGACATGAGAGGGGTCTGGAGTGAGGAGTGGGCTCCTGCCCTGGGCTGAGAGGAGGGGACAGCCAGTGGAGACCCAAAGGGAGGGAAGGAGGAAGCTGGGCCTGGGCACTTCCCAAGGAGGAAGCGATGATGCCGGATTTTCCCCAGGTGTGGCCAGAGGTATAAAGGGCGCTGTCAGCTGGCCACGGCCAGGCCTACCACCTGGTGACTCGAGAACCACAGCCAGGTGTGCTTGGGACTGCCACCGGGCACACACCAGCTGCTCAGAGCCCAGCTGCCATCACCACCACCGAGATGGTGAGTCGCCTCTCCCCACATCCCCACCTGGATGGTGCCATCTGGCCCGAAGGCCTGGCAGTTCCCTGAGCGTTAGCCCGGGATGGGGCCCAGGAAGCCCCTCCCAGTCTTGGGGCAGGAGGGAGCCAGGACCCAGGAGCTCTGGTCCACTGGGGAGCTTGGGCTTAGGGTCTAGCCTCTCTAGGCCTCAGTTTCCCCAACTGTAGAGAGTGGGCTATACCCTGCCTTTCCACAGAGAACAGGGCAAGCTAGGGTGGCAGCGAGGTGCCTTCTTCACCGGGCACCCCCTGACGACCCACCACCTGTTTCACCAGCTCCTCCCTGGCCTTCTGCTTCTGCTCTGGCTATCTGCCAGCCTGGCCCGCCACGGCTCCACACTCTGGAGAGGCCCCCACATCCACACCGATGGGAACCCACGCTGCTACTCAGCCGAGGAGCTGCCCCTGGGCCAGGCTCCCGCACACCTGCTGGCTCGAGCTGCCAAGTGGGAGCAGACTTTGCCAGTAGCCCTGGTGTCCAGCCTGGAGGCGGTGGGCCGTAGGAGGTGGCAGGAGAGGCCCCCAGCGGGGACCCCGTGTCCGGTGCTGCAGGCTGAGGAGGTGCTAGAAGCCGACGTCCACCAGCGCTCCATCTCGCCCTGGCGGTACCGGTGAGGGCTGGGCTCCGGGCTCGGGGCTCCCCACTGTGGGCGTTGGGCTGCTCCCTCCCCTTTCCGGGCACCGGCTTCCTGGAGACTCTGCGAGTGGGTTTCACCCGTTAAATGGGGTGAGCACCCTGATCTGTCCAGCTTGGGCTCTGCCGCGGAGGGTGAGGCTCCATCGGATGAGCTCCTCCTTGCCACTGTTGCCTTGAATCTTAGCTCAGACCTTGGGTGCCAGCGTCACCGGGAAAATCTGGGCCCTCACTTGAGCCCCTGCAAGGGTTGGGCTGGGCTCAGAGGGCGGGAGGGAGGGAGGCCCCTGGAAGCCCCTATCCCAGCTCCTGTGCTCCAAGGGGAGACACGGGCAAGCATCTCTTGTTGGGCTCCCTGCAGCCTGATGCTTCAGCTCTCACTCAGGCCAGGAGCACCCCTGAGTGAGCCACGGAGGACCACAGGGAAGGAGGAAGGGGCCTGCGGAGGCTCTCAGGAGGGCCTCACCAGTCTTTCCCTGCAGTGTGGACACGGACGAGAACCGCTACCCACAGAAGCTGGCCGTCGCTGAGTGTCTGTGCAGGGGCTGCATCAATGCCAGGACCGGCCGCGAGACAGTGGCGCTCAACTCTGTGCCCCTGTACCAGAGCCTGCTGGTGCTGCGCCGCCAGCCCTGCTCCCTGGACGCGTCCGGAGTGCCCACACCCGGGGCCGTTGCCTTCCACGTGGAGTCCATCAGAGTGCCCGTCGGCTGCACCTGCGTCCTGCCCAGGGTGGTGCGGTGACCACCAGCCTCAGCGGGCCCCGTGCTGTGGGCGGGAATCACCTCCCAGGCTGGACAGTGGGGATCTCTCTGCCGAGAGGGCCCCTCCTATTTATGTGTATTTATTGGCTATTTATATGCCCTGGGTGGCCCTGCTTCTGCCGCCCAGGGTCCCTGGGCGGGTACCAGGGCTCCAAGCCTCTAGTTTGAGGGAGGAACAGTGAAGACTGGGCACGGGAATGGCCACGTGACCTGCGCTGGCCAGCCCCTCTCAACACTGTTACCTTTCCGCACAGACAGTGAGCTAGAAGGAATGTTACTATTTTTCTATAACTTCTTAAAACAGAAAATGTGTTCTGATGGCCCCCACCTTGGTGGTCCCTCTGGGATGCCCTAAGCTCCCTTTTCCCATCACCCCTGTATTTCTAAAACTATTTATTGTAAACGTATGTTTATAAATTGATAAACACCCCCTGGAGCACAGCATCAGATGCAGACTGCCTCCTCACCTCACTTCTGCCTGGCCCTGGCTCCCAGACGACCCTGCAGCCGATTCTGGTGTGTCCAGAAGTCTATGTAGGAACCCCCGTATGACCAGGGTGGGGAATGAGTTTGTAGAGTGGAGCACAGGTTTGCCCTGCTGGCCCCTATAGTTTCCACCTGGCGATACCCCCTAGCGATGGCTCTGGGCCCGGGGATGCAGGGGCCACAGCCCAGCCGTGCTCTAGGCTGGCCTTCCTCTACTGACAGGCCCAGGTGTGCAAGGACAACGAGCACCCTCTCCAGCCCTGGGACAGGCATTTCTGAGGGTGACTCCCAGGGGGGTGGCTTTGCAGCCTAGGAGAGTGCCTTCACCTTCGGGCATCTGAGTCATGCTCCCCAACCCCAGCAGAGCCCCAGGCAGTTCCAAAGGCCACCCCAGGGCCCAGGCATCCCCTTGGGCTTCTGTCCACCACTGGTGACCTGCCAGACCAGGGGCAACCAAGCAGGCCAACACCCCAGGCCAGGTGCCCCACTGGCTGACAGCCCAGCCTGTGCTCTCACTGCACAAGCCCCATATCTGCTCGTCCAGGTACATTACTGCTGGAGGCGTCCAGTTCAGGTCCAGGAGCCTGGCCTAAGGCAGCTGTAGAAGGGGCCCTGGGGCAGCCTGTGAGGCATAGGCCCAGCCCTCCAAGGCTGACTTGGGACCTGTGGTTTCCACCCACTGATTAACTATTGTGTGTAAGTGCCTGGGAAGAGCCTGGAAGGACTGAGATCAGCACATGCTTATGAGCTTCTGTGTGTGTGTAGGCAGAGGGAACAGCAATGAACAAAGTGGACAGCTCTCTGCCTGCCTGCAGGCGGGTGACTGACAACCACCCAGTAAAGTGCTCCTCGGTGGTGAAGGAATTAAGGAGAGTGATGCAGGGAAGCGGCAGAGGCTGCGAATCCAAACAGAGGGCCAGGGAAGCCATGGAAGCCACCTGAGCAAAGGCCAGGATGGCCAGCCAGAGGTCTATGCTCCTGGCAAAGGAAATGGCCTGTGCAAGGTGCTGAGTCGGCAGCCTGTGTCTGAGGGTCAAGGGTGCTCAGTGTGGCTGGAGCTGAGGAGCAGGGAGTAACTGTGGGGCAGGGAGTGGAGTATCTGTCCTAGACCGCGGGAGTCTGTGGCTCTGAGAGGGTGCCAGCAGGTCAACTGCAGTGCTGGGAACTGCCTGCAGGGGCCAGGGCAGAGTGGGAGGTGACAACTAGCAGACTTATGAAGACAGAGCCCAAATGGGGTGTGGGACTACATACAGGGGTGTCAAGGGGCCTGTGGTTTTATTATCCTGGAGGCTAGAGTGGCCATTTCCTGGGGCAGGGCTGGTCCAGTGGAGTGTTGGCCCTGGAATGTTAGAGGACCCCAGTTCTGAAAGTAGGATTTGCTGAGAGCAGGTGGGGCAAACGGAGGCAAAGGGTTTAAGGGCTTTTCCAGACACTGGGGGAGTGAGTGCCTGGGAGAAACCATCCATGGGGGAAGAAGGGGCTTCCAGGCTGGGGTGTGAGCTAACGCCAGGCAAAGGGGCTTTCGGAACTGGGGTCTTCTAACACTCCAGCCCTGCCCCAGGAAATGGCCACTCTAGCCTCCAGGATAATAAAACCACACGCCCCTTGACACCCCTGTATGTAGCCCCACCCCCCCATTTGGGCTCTGTCTTGGGGCTCCTGGCTGGGGAGCAACAAAGGCTACTGGGCTCCCTGGGGCCTCCCCTCGCTCAACTGCTTTCCCTCTTCACTCAGCTGCTCAGGTGGAACGGGGGGTTCTTGAAGGGGAGTCTGGGCAGATCCAGGAGCTTGTGTGGGGCACGAACTCCCTCCTCCCAGGCCTGGGGACTTCATTGCCAGAGTAGAAACTCAATACTTGGAATCCCAGAAACTATATTTTATGGATTCATACAAAAGATGCTTGTGATTTCAAGTACCACTGAGAAAAGATAGGCTTCTGGGAATGACACCAAGAGAGGGCCTGTGGTTCCCAGGGCAGGCAAGGGGGTACCTGTGGGGTCTGGGTAGGACCCTTACTGAAAAGCGACACGAGACAGCAGCCACTCAGGGAGTACTTAAAGGCACTGGTCACACCACCTCATCGGTCACTGGGATGGGGTTCTCCTGGGGGCCACTGGAGACTCCTGCCCCCACCGTCTCGTCTTCCTCCTCGCTGGGCTTCTTGCGGGCCTCGGCTGGGGGCCGGGGTGGGGGGTTGCTGGGTGGCTGCTTGATGGTACCCCCCACCTGCGGCCGCTCCTTGGGCTTGGACTCAATGGGAGTCCACTGCTCACCGCGAGTGGCCGCCTGCAGGACACAGAGTGGCTGAGCCCTGGGGGGTCTCTGGGGTCCATCCCCAACATGGTCCCCACCCCTATCGGGGAGCAGAGGGGTCTTGCAAGAGGGAGGGAACTAGAAAAGCTCCCTGGAAGTGACTTCCAGGTACACATTCCCAGACACCCCCAGGAGCAGGGCAGGGAGGTCAGCCAGTGTGTCCATCAGGATGAGTCAAGAAGCCAGGAGCACACAGGGTGGGAGAGGCCAGGGAGGGTAGTCGGGGAGGGCAGGAGCCCCCTCTCTGGAGCCTCCCGGGGGCACCCAGACCTGTTGTGGGGTGGGGTTGGAGGGAGCATCACTGACATCCCCGTCACATGACAAGGACACAGCCTCCTGGCCTTGGCTCAGCCTGCAGGTGGCTGCAGGGACTGAGGTGTCATGGCACCAGCAGGCTGACCAGACACCACTCACCAGCAGATAGATGCCACTTGCTATGGCCAAGCAGGCTGTCCCCAGGATGGTGGCAAGCAGGAAGCCGGCTGGTACTGACAGCCTGGGAAAGGGGGAGACGATGGGAGACTCAGAGAGCGGTCAGAGGGGGTCTGCATGGGGTCCAGGTCTTGGGCAGAGGCCATAAGATCTCAGGACAAAACTGACCTTAAGTGTGCTGTCCCCATGGCCCTGGACTCAGGGAACACCTGGCCCTGCCAAGGCAGGCTTTTAAGTTTGGGTCCCTGGAGCTGTCCTCTGCTTGTACCCTAACAATATTGGAACCCGTGCACTTGGTCCAGCCGTCATGCTGAGGGGAGGCCCCAGCAGCTGCAGGGACACGGAGTGTTCTGGCCTCTGCAGTCACCACTGGGACTACCCAGCTGAGCTCCATCTACCCCAGAACCCTGGCTGTTCCTGATTTAAGTTGCTAAGGTTTGGGGTGGACTGTTACTCAGCAAGAGATGATGGGTACAGGTTTGGGGAACCCCTGGCAGAGCCTGGGACCTGGGTTTTGTTTGGAAAAACAAAGCTAAGCTGAGAGGAGCCCCACTTGCCCCAAGCGCCCCTGTCCAGGCAGCCAGGCCAGGAGGCAGGATCTACTCCAGGGCCCTCCTGAGCCTGAGCAGGCAGGGACTCACCCAAGGTGCAGGAAGGCCCGGACGTAGTAATTCCTGGAGAGGGGCCCGAACAACTTCACCACTTTCGTCATATACTTCTGTCCACTAGACCAAGCGAGGGAGAGAAGACAGACCGCTGTACTCGGCAACCCCACCTCCCACCCTGCCCCAGAGCGCCCCAGCTTCTCTCCCACAGGGACATGGGCCACAGCAGCTGTGCAGGCAGGCACCAGCCTCGGTTTGCCCAGGAGGATAGGGGTTTTGGTACCGGAGCTTTGCAGTGTCCTGGGATGAAGCCCAGAGCACGCAGGGACTCACCATCTCTCCATGGTGGAGCCTTTTCTCCTCTTCCCCCGGGGATACTCCAGCAGGCAGACGAACACTCCTGCAACACTGAAGCTGCGGTTAAGGAACAACTCAGCCCAGCCAGAGGCGCCACAGCGAACCCCGCTGCTGATGAGAAACAGGTGCAGCGGGGAACAGCCCGATGGGATTCGATGGGTCTGGCCACTTCACTGCCTATCCTCCACCTCCCTCCCCGATGCCTGTCTTGGGTTTCAGAGGACCTGGAACAGCCAGCCCACAGGGTGGCTGATAAAAGAGGGCACAGAAAGGATCCCCGGGGGTGCTGACACCTCCCACTCCCTGCCAGCGCCAGACAAGTCAGTGCCTGCTGAGCCCCGGCTTCCAAAACTACAGCTGAGCCTATCCTGCTGAGTCTAAAGGGCAGGGGATGGGAGCAGCTGTCTGCAAACTGTGACGTGTGGTGCCCCCAGAGGCAATAGATCTCTGTTTGCAGCCCTCTAGTGCCACCCCTGGCAGTGCCACCCCTGGCAGTGCCACCTGCCCCATGGGGTTTACAGTGGGAGGATACATGGAGTAGGCGCCGAAGTACCACTGGGTGAACTGGCCAGCAGTGGCCACGATGCCGCCCGTGATGAGGACTGTGGGCAGAGAAGGTTAGTAGAAGCCCTAACCCATGGAAGAGACAAGCCCACATCCCATCCTTGCCCGGCTGGGGCCCACAGGCGGCTCTAGCCTTCTCCCCTTGTGCCCTCCCCCCCCCCCCACAGCTGGCCACCAGCTCACCACAGAGCTGCCCGTGAGTCCCTCAACCAGGAAGTGGACTCAGGTGGCTGCACATGCCCACAGATAATGGAGGATGCCCTCCCCTAGGGAGAGGTATGTGAGCTGAGGAAGGGGTGAGGCTGGTGGATCTGGCCCTGTGTCCTTGGAGCAGTTGGGAGACAGCCAGCTCGAGCCCTGGGCAGGAAGAGGGGCCTGGACACGCACTCTTGAGCTCTGTGACCCCATTGTTGAGTTTTTGTGGTTAAAGATTACACCGATGCAGCTGATGTGGGATCTGCTCCATGGATGGTCGCTCCTTGTTGCATGGTATTCCTGTTCTGTCTCTATTCCTGTGTTCCACCTTAATTTCACTTTTGTTTGATATCGATAATCATTCATGCTTCTTTGGTTAGGATTTGTCAGCTGTCCCCTCCCTTTATTTTCAGCTCTATAGGATCCTGTTGGACCTTTCCTCCCCAGTAATTGTTTTTATTGTGGTAAAATATACATAAAACCTTCAAGATACTGAAACATAACTATTGCATACAGTATAATATAAAGGCATAAGATTCCCATCAGCCCAGAAGCTCTCTTGTGCTGGTCAACACTGAAACCCTAGATCTGTCTTCTTTAGCTCAACAGGAGGTTTCAAAATCATTCATGTGGTTTGGATGAATCACTAGCTCATTCTTTTTGTGTAGTTTTCTATTGTATGAATCAACTTCAATTTCTCCATTCTCCTATGAGAAATTTCAGTTGCTTCCAGTTTTTGACTATTACAAATAAGTTAATATAGCTAATTTTTAAATATTTTAACCAGCCTGATAGTGAATTTAACAGATTTCATTGACTGTGGTTGCTAATAATTTGAACTTGTTTTATCTTATTTTGTGTTTCCTCTTTAACAAGTGTCCTTGTTATTCCTCTGAATTGAACTTTACTTTTAAATTCCTCTTCCTGAACTACATGTGGGCTTTAGACCGTTACCCATTATTATTATTTACAGACAATACTTAGTCATTAATGTCTTCATTCTTGCATCCCAGTCCTTTCTTCTGGATTCAGTTCCCTTCTTGCTGAAGTACATCCTTTAGTAGTGCTTTCTGTGAGGGTCTGTTAGCAGCAACTCTGGATACCTGAAAATGCCCTCATTCTAGAATAGTTTACCTGGATACTGAATTCATGTTTTTGTCTCAATATCAAAGTTATTACTCCATTGTCTTCTAGCATCTATTATTGATGATAAGTCTGACATCAGTCAGATCCTAATCCATTTTATTCTCTGGTAAATTTTAAGATGTTCTTTAAAAGGACTGTATTTTCATTACAATGTGTCAAAAAGGGGTTTAAACAAATCCCTTTATTCTGTAAGGAATTTTGTTTTCTTGTTAAATTCTGGAATTTCTCACCCATTATTCCACTTACATTGCCTCCTTCCACTCTATTCTCTCCTCTGAAACTGCATTATATAGATATTGGACCTTCTTATACTATTGTACAGGACTCAACTTCTCTCAGCTTCATCTGTGGTTTCCTCAGACCCACCTTCGATGTCACCCTTCCAATTCTCTCATCTCTACATAGTGTTTAACTCATCCATTGACCAAAAATGACTTTATATTTTATTTCTGGACATCCTATAATAGTTATTTTTTGCATTGTCCTGTGTAATTTTCTATCCTTTTATCTCTTTGAACAGTTTCAAACACACCCTCAAGTTTAAACATGTACCCATATTCTCAAGTCCCTTCTTAGTAGCCCTAGTTCTAAGGAGGACATTCTCCAGTCTACGGTGTCTGCTTCCTCAAATGGTGGGTGATTGTGAGCTGCGCCCAGCAGGCTTGTCTTCCTGTGTCAGTCTGTGCCCTGGTGGGGGAAATGCCCTTACAGAACAGTTTCACATTTGCCTCTGTGAGGCCTATAGGCTCCTCCAGTCCTGGATAGGCTTTATCCGAATTTCTTGGTCAGTGGTCCTTGCAGCAAAGGGTAGGGTTCAGCCTGAGTTCCTGGGGTTCTGTCTTATTTGTGACTTTCTTCATCAAATGACAAGCTTCCTTGGATGGGATAGTTTTATAGTCTGTTCCATACAGGCAACCTTTCCTGGCTCTGGCTGGAGGCACGCGGCTCCATTTCAGCCCTTTTCCCACACAGAGGCCCCCAAGTCCCACTGGGTAAGAGCCTGAGCCTCTGTCGGTTCCGATTCCCCTGGTGCACCTTCCTTCGACTCCAGCACAGCACCTTGAAATATCACTGCTTTTGTCGCCTGAGTTCCTATTTTTGGAGCTGAGCTCAGCTTTGTAATAACTCTTTTGGTTGCTCATCGTACTTCCATGAGTTGTCAGAGAGAAGGGTGTTCTCCCATGTGTTCAGTCAGCCTGTGGTCTACTTGTCTTTGGGCTCTACTTATAATTTTCTCTTCTCTAGCCTGTTTGTTGCCTGGCATTAGCAAAAGGGGAGCAAGACACCACTGGCTGGCCAGGGAGGCCTGAGAGTAGACAGCACTACTGTGTACTGGGACTCATAGGTGCAGGGGACTAGACAGAGAAGGCCTGCGCTCTCCTGGGGTGCATGTTCTCAGGAGGGAACAGAAATAAACGTCAGGGACTGTGCACTAGGATAGGGACTGTGCAGAGATGTCTAGGTGCTCTGGGAAGACTTCTCTGAGTCGGTGATATCTGAGCTGAGAAATGAGTGGAGGAGCCAGCCAGGGATGTTTCAGACAAAGGAAGTGCTTCTGCAAAGGCCCTAGGGTATGTCCAGGAGATCTGGAAAGCCTGTTGGATGCACCTGCTATTAGGGTCCAGCCAGGTCTGAGCATCCCCGGTGCCTGCAGTTTATCCTGAGTCAGGAAAAAAAGTCAGCAAGAGGAGGAACTCAGAGTGGGAAAGGTCTGGGAGACCTTCCCACAAACTGCCTTATTTTATGGCGGAAATGGAGTCACAGCTTGTAAATTCTCTAGGACTTGACTTTATTGTTTATAAAGTGGACACAAGAACAGCTCTGGCCTCACCAACAGGACATTAGCTAAGGCAAGGAAGGGACAACCTTACACAGTGGGCATGCCATGCGTGGGGACACCGGAGGCTCACTGTCTGCACACACTGGGGCTAGAACCCAGGCTTCTCAGAGCTCCCAGTTGGAGCCCTGTCTCCTTCTGCTTCCAGGGGGCAGGGAACGGGTGGGGGGCTATAGGACAAAGGGAGGCTGGCCTGCAGCAGTCTAAGGCCTCTCAGCCTGTGGCGGTGGGGGGACAGCCTGGAGGCAGCTCTGGAGAGAAGCGAGAATGACCTGTGCCTGGCCAGCATGGCTCAGTGGTTGAGCATCGACCTATGATCCAGGAAGTCACGGTTCGATTCCTGGTCAGGACGCATGCCCGAGTTTCAGGCTCAATTCCCAGTGTAGGGCATGCAGAAGGCAGCCAACAAATGATTCTCTCTCTCTCTTCCTCTCTGAAATCGATTAAAAAAAAATTAAAAGTTATTTAAATAATAATTTAAAAAATGTTTTGACTCACTGAACTCTCAGTACTCTAGGTTCCAAAAGGGGGATGACCTGCCTGGACACAGAACAGACCACTGAGCCTCACCAAAGCTGCTCACACCAAAGTGTGACCTTCCAGTTTGGGGCCAGAGGGACTTCATTTACGTCTACTCCCTTCCCCCGCAGAGCTTTGCCAGGCTCCTCCAGTCCCCAGCGGGCAGGGGGGTCTCGGGATGGTTCCCAGGGCCATGGTAGTGGGCTAGGATCCTCCTCATCACCACATTCCCCACAATCTCCCCACCCCCCACTCCCACCAGGTGCAGGTCCTTCCTGGGAGTGGCAGGTCCCGGGGGCGGACAGTGCCTCTGGGCGGCTTCCTCTTGCTGCAGACCCTGCCTGGGCCCCGCTCACCCACACCGCCTGAAGGTTCCCCTTCCGAGCAGCCCGGGGTGCAGAGCCGCTGCCTTCTTCACCAGAGCCCCCGAGCACGGCCCATCCTCCCCCAGAAGCAGTCTCTGGAAGCGGAGCTGGGAGGTTCCCTCTGGGCAGGTTAGATGTCCCAGGAAACTCAGAGCGCGCCCCCGGCGACCCGTGGCGGGAGCCCCACTCCAGGCAGGAGGGGCGGCGGGAGCAGGTGGTTCCCGCCCTGTTTTCCCAATCCTGGAGGGGGGTGACTCCGGAAACCACCCGGGGCGACAGCCTCTACCCCCGAGGCTGCAACTTCCTCTATCTGGAGAGGTCGGGGCGGGGTGGAGAGGTGAATAGGAGACCGTCGGGGGAGGGAGGGGGGGGGCCAGGGGCAAGCGGGTCTCAGTCGCAGAAGGGTTTCCGCTGCCTGGCGCCTCCAAACCCGGCCCACCCTTGGCTCACCTCCCCCGCCACCAGCTGCAGGTCCCCGCAGGGGTCCCAGGCCCCACCTCCGGCCCGCAGCCTGGAGTCTCTGACCCCTCAGGACCCTGGCTCCCCAGCCCCGTCCCGGCCCACCCAGTCCCTCGGCCCGCAGCCTGGGGTCTCGGCGCCCCACTGCCCCAGCCTGATCCCCCACGTCCTCGTCGCCAGCTCACCCATCCCTTCCTCGCAGCCTGAGGTCTGTGCCCCCCGCCCCGCGTGCCCAGCCCGGCGCACTCACTCAGGCCGGACGCCAGCGCCTGCTCGTTGGCCCACATGGCCCACTCGATCTGCCCCATGTCGGCGGCCGACGCGGCTGACTCCGCTGAGACACTGAACCCGCGCCCGCCGCCCCGCAGCCCGAGTTCCGGCACCTCCTGCCCCCCAGTTCCCGGGGCAGCCCGGCCCCGCCCCGCGGAACCGCTGTGCGTCCGAGTTCCGGCCCCGCCCCCGCCCCAGGAGCCAGGCAGGGTGAACCGGGAGCAGCGTCTGTGGGGCATTGAGGAAGCCTGCCTGGCCCCCAGGCCTTCAAACTTGCAAGTCTGAGGGGCCTCGCCTCACCCCCTCCAGCGCCCTTGGGCCCACCGCAGGCCCCACCCACTTAGATGCCTGCTTGGTGCCAGGAGTCTGCCCTGCCAGCTCCACCGCAGTCAACCTGGAGCGCCCTCAGCACTGCCTCGGGGAGTGGGCACGGGGAAGGGGCACTGGAACCCGCCCCAAAATGCTGAACTCCTGCAGGTGCTAACAGGGGCTCCTTTGGAAGGTGCGAGCAGGCCAGGTTCCTGGAGGGGCATAAATGTCCAGAGCCCAGGCCCAGGCAAGGAAGGAGCCTCTGAGCCTTGGGAGGAGGGGGCCTCCATGGAAGTCAATGTTTGCTACTTAGGACAGTGGCAGGTCCACCCTCATGCCTCTGGCCCTGAGCTGGCCCAGTGTGGTGGGCAACCCACTCATAGGACAAACTTAGGGGAGAAAAACAAGATGAGCAAAGCTGGGGAAACCTAGAATGTAGGAGTGCTCGGTCCTGTCCCTTGGTCATTTCCCTCCTTTGCCCTCTCTCCCTTAAGGGTCAGCAGCAGCATCTGACCCGCCTGGGTGGAGGAAGGGAACCAGAAGGCAGGTCAAAGGGCACAGGTGTCTGTCCACCCCTCCTTTCCCACAAGCTGGCAGCGCTGAAGCTGGGAGTGGGGAAGAGTGCGATGACTTGCACACTGTAAGCCCAGCCATTCATACAAGTAGCCATTCCTGGGCTCCAGAAACCATAAGCTTCTGGGCTGAGGGAACCTCCCCGAATCAGTGCTGTCTGCACATTTCCCACTTTTGTAGACAGGAAGCGGAAAGCCAGACCTGAACCATGTCCCCATACCCGTCTGAGCCCTGGAGTGTGGAGTGTGGCCTGTGGCCATGGCAGTGGCTGGTGCTGAACACCCCACCGCAGGGCTGGGCAATTGAAGGGGAGCTTTGGGTCAGAAGGCAGTTTCTTCAGGACCAAGTGGCAAGTTCCAAGTTCTTTTGCGAAAGCAGCACATGGCCCTTGCCCTCCCCAACCCTCCCGATGAGGGCTGCCCACTGCTCACAGGAACGCTGGTCACACACAGGCACGCCAAGCCCGATCAGCAATTCTGGCTTTATTCCCAGTTGCCAGGGCTCCTTGTAACAGTGGGGGTTCCGTATAACAAGGCATCTTGGGCTGCTCTCCATCTCCCTTAGAGTCACACTCCTGGTCTTTTTATGTAGAAACATTCTAGCCAAGCTCTGGCAGAGGAGCTAGGGTGACTGTCATGCTCTAAGCCTCTGTAGAGGGGTCCTCAGCTTGCAGAGGTTGCTTCCTGAACAATGACCAGTCCTCCAGCTCCAAAGAGGGATGCCAACTCCCCCTCACTCAGGTGGAACAGCTCCTTTTCGGTCAGAGACCCTTCAGGAGGGACACACCAGCAGCTCAACCCAATGGGCTGGATCCACCAGGTCCCACATCCCATCCCAGCCCTCATCTCAGCACAGCATAGGCGGGGAGTGAGGCATTTGGTGGAGTGCTGTTCTGGACGCCTGGGAACCTGCAAGTGGTCACTTCACTGCCCCCACTTGGCCACAGCACACTGACCAGCCCAGGGCCAGGTAGCCAGGCACCAGTCCCAACAAGCATGGCCCAGCTGCTGCTACACCCAGCTCCCCAGTCCCAGCAAAGCTGCCCCTTTTCCAAGTGGTGGCCAGGGCTCCCCTCAAACTGTTGGCTTCGGCAGGCCGTCCGGGCCCAGGAGGTGAGCGTGAGGGTGGTCCAGGACTTGAGGTCCGGGCCCCACCTGGCAGGGAGAGAAACCAATGTTCAGTTGGGTGACAGGCAAGGACAGGTGTACCCTCCGGCCTCCCAGGAAAGTACAGCTCAGAAGCTGACCACAATGTGGTGATGCCCTGGCCCTGTGCCAACTCCCTTAGGCAAGAGCCATGTGGTCCCAGCCTCCATTACCCAGACCTGAGTGAAAAGCAGAGATAGGGAGTCATGAGGACTTGGAATGGAACCATCTGAGTGAAATCCTCGCTCAGACGCTGAGCAGGGATCCTGATCTGCCCCCAGTGGGTGAGGGCTCAGGTCCCCAGGATCCCCCCCATCTTGATGGCCAGCCCTGCCCTCTCCCCTGAGCACTGGAACACAGCCCCACAAGTCAGCATGTCCCGAAAGCAAGTGAGTGAAACAACTTTGAAATTGCTGTTATTCTTGACGAAGTGGGGGTGAAGGGAGCCCCTTCACCTGGTTTCACCTGGTGGTCACACTGGGTCTAAGGCCATGAAACCCATGTACTGGATGGGAACTTCCCTGGGTGTAGGGCTGGGATGTAAGGGCCCCCGGCCCTGGTGTTGAGGGCTGGTACCAGGCCTCACCTGAGTGGCAATGATGTATTTGATGGCGCCGGGGGTAGGATCCATGCCCAGTGCAGCTTTAAGCTCGTCTGAGAGCGGGGCAGGCTTCACCGGCAGCCCCTTCAGAAACCTGGGGAAAGGAAGGCAGGAGTGCTGGGTACCCATCGACAGGAGCATGCAGACCAAAGACAGGAAGGGTGACTGACAATGGGTACAGGGTTTCTTTTGGGGTGATAAAAAAATTCTGGAACAGAAAGAAGTGCTGGTTGCACAACAACAAATATACTTAATGCTGCTGAGTTGTACGCTTCAAAGTGTATTTCACCCCCCAGAAGAACTGAGCAGGAATGACCAGGCTGGGGTCACTGTGAAGTGAGGTTTCAGGAAACCTCCCTGAGGTTTTAGATTCACCCATGGCCCATGGCTACTGCTCCACCCAGTGGAGTAACAACTTAAATGCCTAAGTTCAGGCATGAGTCCATCACTGTGTTCCTCTGCCCGCCACCCACTGCGGTGACAAGGGCCATGAGTACAGAGCTTCTGATGAGGGCGCCATGGCCTCCCAGGCCATCACAGCTGTCCCACTTGGTGAGGATGTTAGTACTCTGGCCTCCCACCCACTAGCCACCAGTGCTGCCAAATTATAGCACTGTCCCAGTTACAGAGATAAAACCACCCCCCTTCCTGTCCCCACATCGAGAAGGGATCATTAAAATGGGTGCGAAGAAATCCAAATGCCCTGTCCCCACTGCAGGGCTGTAGCCACTGTCCACCCAGGAGCCATGATGCCATGTGCGAGTCATGAGGCGCGGCGAGGGTGTGTCTCTGTGGCCACGGGCTAAGACATGTGATGGGAAGTTCCCGGTCACAACAAGGCGCACTTGGTGACACACTGCCTGAGGTCCACAGGGGGTCAACACTTCTTGCAGGACTCCCCATTCAGCACCACGGCCTCAGGAGCAGCTGTCCCTGACCCCAATAGGGGACCCTGCTCCTCCCTCCATGGCTTCCCAAATGGGGGGACCCACAACTCACTTGTCTCCATTTGACTCAGGGGGAAAGCTGTGCCTCACGGCAGCCACGAACTCTGCCACAGTGTTGTCCAGGGTAAAGATCACCGCGTTGGGGCCTGCGTCAAACGTATACGCCACCTGGAACCCACGCAGCCATCGTCACCATCTGCACAGTGGCTCTGCCTGGCTCAGACCCTCTAGACCAGCGGTTGCCAACCTTTCGGACCTTAGGGACCACCAGTTTGTGACCGCTGCTCTAGACTGCCCGGAGACCCAGGGCCTCCCACGGCGCCCGCGAGGCCAACCCTGAGTAGAGCAGTGGCACTTCTGCTGGACAGCTCAGGACTAAGGGTGAGGGGCTCCCCAAACCAGTGCTTTAAAGTGCAGGCTGGGATCCTTTAGTGCAGCCAAAATGAAACAGAGTGAGACGGAAGAGCATAAGCAGGTTCCGTGGAGCTCTGTCACGGACAAGCATGTGCTGGATTTACTGAAGATCGTGGCCGGACGCCTCTTCTGGGTTTCCGGCGCTGCCCCGGCCCCACCTTGCCTTGGTCTGCCCATGGTGGGCATTGAAGCGGTGCACCAGGTGGATGATACGCCTAGAAGTGTCGTTGAGATATGAGATGGGCGGGAAGGTGTCTAGGCAGGTGGCATGGAACTGGTTGCTGTCCTTCATGGTGAGCTGGCCAAAGCCCTGGAAATTTCTCTCTTTGACATAACGGATCATCTCTGCCATGCGCGCCGGCACCACTGTCTCAGCCCGGAACTGCAAGATACAGGTGCTTCCCAATGAGGTGCTGGCTGCCTCACAGCACAGTGGCCTGCGGGGAGGGCCTCAGGCTCCATACACCCAGCAGAGCAGATGGCTCAGCTTCAGAGGATGTGGGTGGAGCCTGAGTGAACCCTGACAAGCAGGTTGTTCCCTGGGTAGCTGACACTGCCCCAGTGCCCGCCTTACCTTGAGCAGGGGGCTGGTCTTCACGCTGGTCTGCATGCCCACCGTGCTGCCAGTCAGCTTCTTCTCAGCGCTTACCTGCACCGAGGGAGAGATGGCCGAGATCTCACCCTCAGGCCCCAGCCCTAAACACCCTCCTGTCCTGTCCCGCCCCTCAGCTGGCACAGGCAGTAGGGTGGAGGCCTCCTGACTGGCAGAGATGACAGTTCTGAGAACAGCAGCGTATAGATCAGCAACCCTCTTACTACATGGGCGTCATTCCTGAATGCTCATGGAGAACCATTTCATCTCTCCCAGCTCAGCCCAAGAGGTCCCCCCACTCCATGCTGCTCACTCACCACGAGGATGAGGACTCGGAGTTCAGGCCAGTGCGATTCAGGGGCCACCTGCCGGGCGATGCTGTCCTTCCCATCAGCCTGCTCCCCCATCTGCCACTCCACGAAACCGCCATATAGACTCCGGCAGGCGCTGCCTGAACCGCGGCGAGCCACTTCCGAAAGGTCACTCTCGACCCCGTAGACTCGGGCCAGGGCATAGGCTGTAGGTGCAGGAGGGAAGGTGGACAGGGGAGGGGGACTAAGATATGCTCAGCACCCTAGGAGAATGTGCCTTATAGGAAATTAAAAATTCTGAGATGACAGAGTTTCAGCCACCAACTCTTACAGTTAGCATGCACCTACTAACCCATGTGGTCACTCACACACACTCAGCATTCCCAGAGGTGCACTCTGGACACACAGAGACCACTGGAGCCTGTGGAGCTGCAGTGGAGGGCAACCACTCTTGGGGAACTGAAGGATCGAGTGGCGAGGGGCCAAAGTTTCTCCAAGGAGTGGCACAAAATTGGGCTTTTCAGGGGTGCTGTGTGGGGCAGGAACCAAGGCACAAAGGCCTGAAAATGTACACGCTTAGGGTAGCTAGCATGCTGGGCGTGAAGGAGCAGGGCTGGGCCTAGTCAAGGGCCTGGTGTCAGGATGCACAATTGGCATCCACAGGTAAGAGCTCTGCCCAGTGCTGGCACCCCTCCTGGCTCGGCTCACCCACCCCCCGGCTCGGCTCACCCACACCCCAGCCCCTGAGGTGTTCAGGCCTGGATACATAAGCCAAGCCAAGCCAGTAAGCATCATCCCTGGGGCTCTCATGGGCCATTGGTCTCACTGGCTATGAGGACGGTGTGAGCCCACTGATCGCCACTGTGGTAACCAGTTTTGCCCCTGAGTAGGGAGTAGTTTTGCCCCTACCAGAGAGTGAATCAACAGAGGTGAGATTTCACAGGAGAGAAATGGATGCCCAAAGAGGCGGTGGGAGTCTGGACCAGCCACACCAGAAGGCGGCTGCACTCCCTGGAATTCTGTTACATAGGCCAAGACATTATCCCTGCTTTTGGACGTGAGCCAGTTTGGGATGGTCTTCTGTCGATGTAATCTATTGGGTCTGATATATGGAACCCTCAGAAGACTTTAACATTCAGCCGAGACCGGTTTGGCTCAATGGATAGAGCGTCGGCTTGGGGACTGAAAGGTCCCGGGTTCAATTCCGGTCAAGGGCATGTACCTTGGTTGCGGGCACATCCCCTGTAGGGGGTGTGCAAGAGGCAGCTGATCGATGACTCTTTCTCATCGATGTTTCTAACTCTCTATCTCTCTCCCTTCCTCTCTGTACAAAAATCAATAAAATATATTTAAAAAAAAAAAAAGAAGAAGAAGACTTTAACATTCAGATGTGAGACAACCAAGGCCTCTGCCCTGTGAGAAGAGGGCTCACCCATTGGACAAATCACACTGGAGTGCCTACTGGGCACCCACCTAGGCAGGCGTAGCCTGAAGCGGAGGAGGCGAGGCCTGCAGCTGTGGGGAAGTTGTTCACCGACGCGACGTGGACCTTGTAGTTGAGGCTGAGAGGCAGCTGGTCCTCCTCATCACCACTCCTCCGCTTCCGGGCCAGGCGGCGAACTGTGGGGAGGGGAGAGAGCCACTGGGCGAGCTGCCCCAACCTGCTCCTGGCATCTCGCCTGCCAAGGGTCAGAGACAGCTGATACCAACCTCTGCCTCAGATTTCTGCCGACCTCCTTGTTCCGGAAAGCCCCAGACCCCAGACCCGCACCTGGCTGTGCCAACAGGTGTCCCCAGTCCCCAGGGGCTCTCAGAGCCAGGTGGGGAGGGAGCAGCACCTGCTGTGCTCTGACTCCGCCCAGAGTAAGGAAGAGATGGGGGGGGAAGGAACAGGCTGGGACTGGCCCCAATGTCCCATGCGGGACCCCCACTCACTCTCCCTCAGGCAGGCCTGGATACGTGGCTGCCCTATGTCCTCTTCCCGGCCATTAAGCCAAATCCGGTCCTCAGTGAAGTCCTTGCTAATGACAGCTGTCGTAGTGGTTTTTAACTGGGAAAGAAAATGCAGGGCCACCTCAGGGGCAAGGCACCGCTTTTGCTGAGGAGGCCTTCCCTGCCATGGCCCATCACTGTCACCCACGTAGGGGCAGGGACAGTCTTGCTGGAGAACAGGAGGCTGAGGCCAGACAGGAAGGGGTCAGGCAGTGTGGTAGGTAGTCTCGGCCCCAAGCCTGGTTTCCCCATTCAGGGTGAGGCTGACGCTCCCACCTCTCACAGCAAAGCCACTGGGCGGGCACAGGTGTGAAGGGTCAGAACCTCAGAGGAGACCTGGGGGTGCGTGTGCGATGAGCATTCCTAACAGTGGAGCATGGAATGGGCACTGTTCATGGACTGGGGATTTATCACCATCAATTATGAAACAAAAGTTTAGTAAATTTTATATTTATTTGGTGTTTATTGCCAGCCCATACTAACCTGGTCCTGATGTAAAGTGACACTCAGAGAGGAGTTGATGGGCAGGATCAACTCCTCATCTCGCTTCCCCCCTGGAACAGACAATCCAAGGTAAGCTAGTCAGTTTCCCAGCCCCGCACACCAGGGCACTGATTCTCCCACCCACTAAAGCGTCACTTCTCCCCACTGGTGCTCCCGTCACCCCACTCCCATACCACAGTCCCCCATCCGCCTGGACCCGGCTCTCTCACTTTGTCCTATTCCTGCTGTACCCACACCTGCAGGAAGCCCTCCTGGATTGCTCCCCACTTCACTGAGCTCCAGGTCCCTGAGCAGAGTTGAAGGCTAGCCATCTTCCTCCTTCATTATTTTTGGTTTATCTTCTTTTACCCATTGGACAAATCACACTGGAGTGCCTACTGGGTACTCAGCGCTTGACTGTTAGGCTTTTGTCTTTTCCTCCAAAACAGGAGCTGCCTCAGTTAATACCTCAAGTCTCCCTGCTCGGACTCCCTGGAGACACCCAAAATCGCCCCACATCTGCTGAGCACTTCTACTCCCGGCGCCTTATGGCAAACAAAGTAAACTTTCTGGAAATTTCAAAACTCTTTGTTAAGCACATACAATGTTTGGGGAAATAGCGGAGTTACATGGGTAATAAGGATTCATACCCAGCAGGTGATCTTTGAGACCCAGAAAGAGTCCCCATCAATAAACCCAACTCATTTTTTATAAAAGTGCAAAAAGCAATTCAATGGAGGGACAGCATTTTTGGTAAAAGCTGCTGGAATAACTGGACATCCATAAGTCACCAAATGAACCTCCACCCAAGTCTTATATCTTATACAAAAATAACTCTAGGTGGATCACAGACTTAAATTTAAATTGTAAACCTTTTAGGAGATAATCTCCAGGTTGTAGGGCTAGGCAAAGAGGTCTTAGACTTGACACCAAAAGCATAAATGGAATAACTAATATAATAAACTTCACCAAAATGTTTTAAACTTTGGCTGTTTGAGAGAACCTGTTAGGAAGATGAAAAGATAAACTGTAGAGTGAGAGGAGATGTTTGCAAACCACGTATCCAACAAAGAATTAGTATCTGAAATTATAAAATGAACTCTCGACCAACCAAAGTACTTGTATGCATGCATATAAGCCTAACCAATGAACACAGACACCAGAGGGGTGAGGGCAGGAGTGGGGAGAGGGGGGTAATGGGGGATAAGGATACATATGTAATACCTTAATCAATCAATAAATAAAAATAAAATAAAAAGGACAGTAGACTACACTATAGTAACAGGGAAACCTGCCTTCTATGGTCCTTTCTCCTCTCTATTCTCCACAAACGCTCCCCTTGGATGCTCATGTCTTTAAATGCCCCCTTTCACCCGCTGGCGTGGTTCAGTAGTTGAGTGTCTGCCTATGAACCAGGAAGTCATGGTTCGATTTCCAGTCAGGGCACATGCCTGGGTTGTGGGCTCCATCCCCAGTGTGGAGTGTGCAGAAGGTGGCTGATTCTCATCATTGATATTTCTCTCTCTCTCTCATCATTGATATTTCTTCTCTCTCTCCCTCCCTCCCTCTTTAAAATCAATAAAAATATATTAAATAAATAAAATTTAAAAAATAAAATGAACTCTCAAAAACTCAATGGTAAAACAAACAAACAATTCAATTAAAACATGGACAAAAGAAATGAAGAGACATTTCATCAAAGAGTAAACAGAGATGGCAAATAAGCCCATGAAAAGGTTAGCCAACAGAAAAATGCACACTAAAAACCACGACGATGTATTCCCTAAAACAAAAAACAGGGACATCACCAAGTGCCACTGAGGAAAAAACAATTTAACAGTTTCTTTTTGAAAAAACAACTAAACATGCAACTATGACCCAGCAAGTGCACGCCTGGGCATTTACTCTAGAAGAATGAAAATTGATGTTCACTCAAAAATCCATATAAAACGTTTATAGTATCTTTATTCCTAACAGACGAAAGCGGGAAACAACCCAGCTGCCTCTCAGAGGGTGTAGGACCTGTGGCCGGGCCACACCAGGGAACAGGACGCGGCACTAACGGAGCAAAGTACTGGTGCCACTACCACCTGGATGAACCTCCAGAAATGACAGCGAGTGAAGTGCGCCAATTCCAAAACGCCACATGCTGCGTTCACTTCTCATTTACGAAGTATTCTTGAAAAAGAGAACATGCTAGAAAGGAAGAGCAAGTCCCAGGTGGCTGGGGTGGGCATGACCGTGGGAGCTGAGTCCCACCTTAGGGATGGGCATCCTGTGTGGACCATGGAACCCGACCCGGGCCCCCAGGGGGTGGTCATCTTGTGTGGACCCTGTCCATCAAGTGTCCCGGGACCCGAGAAGATATACGTCCTATGCGGGCTGCGTCCCCACCTCCGCGGGGATGGAAGTCCTGTGTGGCCAGTCCCGGGGGAGGAGGGGGGGGGGCGGTCCGGGGCATCGCCTGCCACAGCGCCGGGCCGGGCGGACGGCTGGAGTGAGTGCTCACAGCTGTACATGGACCTCCCACCGCGTTATCGCCTCTTCCGCCGCCCACCGCGCCCGGCTGGAGGCCCGCTGCCGCCCGCGGCCCGCGCACTCACAGTACTTGATGACCGCGATGTTGACCGGCGCGGTGCAGGTCACCGCCAGGTACGACTGCTCCGAGGCCATGGCCGAGGAACACTAGAGACCCCGGCCCACAGCCGCCAGGCTTCGGAACCCGCGCCCCAGCAGGCCTTGCCATTGGCCCACGAGGTCCCAGCTGTTCGCACGACGTCCAATCAATGGCGGTGACGGTCCCACGCTCCACCTCTCAGCCAATAAGCGAGATCGAACGATGGACTGCCGACGCTGAGCCCGCCCCTCTGTCCCCGGCGCGCGTGCTCGGGCTGTGCGTTGGAGGGTGTGCACAAGCGTGGAACCTCCTGTGGCGCGCGGTTGCGCAGGCGCGGGGCGTGCGCAGGCGCAGAGCGGCGGCCTTCCGGAGCGTTGCGGACCCGCAGGCAGACCTTCCCGGCGGGCGGGTTAGACACAAGGGGTCCTCCTGGCTGGAAGGAGGCTGAGGGGGGTGCGGGAGCAGCCTGGGTCCAAAGGCTCCAGTGATCAAGCCAGAGTGCCCCCGGCTCCCCAGCACGGTATCTCGTTTCGCCCCCCCCCCACCGCCCCCTGGGTTCTCGGCCCGCCACCCAATCCTCCCTGCTGCCTGGGGTCTCCTGGAACCCCGCCGCCCGGTGTCCCGCAGCCCAAGTTTCCTCGCTGGCCCAGTCACTGGGGGGGGGGGGGGGGGGGGGAGGGAGGGACCCTCCCACGAGCTCCGCATTCCTAGCTGAGCTAACCTGTGCCGCTGGGTGGCAGCTGCTAAGCATGAGAGAGAGGAGCATTCAAAGCTCAGTCTTTTTTTATTTTTATTTTTAAATCCTCACTCAAAGATGTGTGTGATTTTTTTAAATTTATTTTTTTTAATATTTTATTGATTTTGTACAGAGAGGAAGGAAGAGAGATAGAAAGTTAGAAACATCGATGAGAGAGTCATCGATTAGCTGCCTCTTGCACACCCCCTATCGGGGATATGCCCGCAACCAAGGTACATGCCCTTGACCGGAATCGAACCCGGGACCCTTCAGTCCCCAAGCCGACGCTCTATCCATTGAGCCAAACCGGTTTTGGCGTGATTTTTTTAAAAAAATACACACACACAATTGATTTCAGAGAGGAAGGATGAGGGATTGTTTACAATAAGTGGGAAAGATTTTAAAGGCAAGAATATGGGTGCCACATCAACTGAACGAAAGACAAATGGGAAATCAAAGTCATGAGTAAAATGTTGCTTCAACGGCACGAAAAAAGTCTTTTTTGCATGGCATTGTGACTGGCGATGAAAAGTGGATTTATTTTGAGAATCCCAAACACACAAAATCATGGGTTGATCCAGGTCAACCATCAGCATCACCTGCAAGGCCAAATCGCTTTGGAAAGAAGACAATGCTCTGTGTTTGGCGGGATCAGGAAGGTGTGGTGTATTATGAGCTTCCAAAACCAGGTGAAACCTTAATACTGATCTTTACCAACAACAAATAATCAGTTTGAACCACGCTTTGATCATGAAATGACCAGAATGTGCCAGAAGACATGGCAAAGTAATTTTGCTTCATTATGGCACACCACTTTTCAAAACCAGTTAAAGACACACTAAAAGATCTTGCCTGGGCCAAAGCCGGTTTGGCTCAGTGGTAGAGCGTTGGTCTGCGGAATTCCGGTCAAGGGCATGTACATTGGTTGCGGGCACGCCCCCGGTAGGGGGTGTGCAAGAGGCAGCTGGTCGATGTTTCTCTCTCATCAACGTTTCTAGCTCTCTCTCTCTTCCTCTCTGTTAAAAATCAATAAAATATATTTTAAAAAAAGAAGATCTTGCCTAGGTAGTATTAACCCACCGCTGTATTCACCGGACCTTATTCCTTCAGATTACCACTTGTTCCAATCGATGGCACACACACTTTCTGAGCAGCACTTCAAAATGTACAGAGAAGTGGAAAATTGGGTCTCTGAATGGTTTGCCTCAAAACAAAAGAAGTTCTATTGGGACGGTATCCACAAATTACCCAAAGATAGGGGAAATGTGTAGCTAGCTATGGACATTGCTTTGAATAAAGCACTTTTGATGTTTCTCTTGAAACCATTGTGTTTTCTTTAATTACAAAATTCACATTTTTAATGGATATGTCTAGTAGGTTGGTTACCTCCTGCATGTGCCCCAGCCAGGGCCCAGGCTGGGGTGGAGACTGCAACCGAGGTACATGCCCCTGACTGGAATCAAGCCTGAGACCCTTCAGTCCACAGGCTAACGCTCTATCCACTGAGCTGAACTGGCTAGGGCTACTACTAAATAAATAAATAAATAAATATTTAAAAAATCCTCACCTGAGGAAATTTTTTTACTGATTTTTAGAGCAAGAGGAAGAGAGAAACACTGATGTGAGAAACATCTATCAGTTGACTCCAGTACACACCCCGACTGGGGATTGAACTCGAAACCTAGGTATGAGCCCTGACCAGGAATTGAACCACAACCTTCTGGGGTATGGGAAGCTCCAACCAACTGAGCCACCAGTCAGGGCTGATTATAATTACTTTTTGAAGTAATTGTGATCACAAAACATTTTTACATGAGGAGCTGTACATTATTTGAAATTAAATGATGCATTTTTGTTGTCCTTGTTAATCCTCACCTGAGGATATTTTTTCCATTGATTTTTTTTTTTAAGAGAGTATAGGAGGGAGGGTGAGAGGGGGAGAGAGAGAAACATTGATGTGAGAAAGACTGAAAGCATCAACTGATTGCTTTCTGCACAGGGGTGGGTACACCAACTAGCGCTGGGGTTTGAACCCCCAAATCAGGTACACACCCTTGACCAGGAATTGAACCCATGACTCTTCAGTGCTCAACCAACACTCTCACCATTGGGATTGCCAGCCAAGGTTCAAATGAGGTCTTGATCTGAAGCATAAATTCCAGGTACTTAATGTTTTTAATAATAGTGTGCTATTTTGGGGGGTAGGGGTGAAGAATAAGAAAGAATAATAGGGAGGAAGAAAGCATTGATCTAAACTAATCTCTACAAGAATTACTTTGTAGCTTTTATTATGGGAAATCCTCATTTGGGGTGCCAATGGGCAGCTGTACTTTGAAAAAACAATCCAGTATTTTGTTTCTTGTTTCTTAGGAGTCAATAATCAACCAGTAAATAATATTTTTGATACTTGAAATTGTTGCTTATAGAGTATTTTTGTTAAAGGTGATTAGGGCCCTGGCTGGGTAACTCAGTTGGTTAGAATGTCTTCCTGATACACCATGGTGGCAGGTTCAATCACATTAGGGCACATACAAGAATCGGCCAATGAATGCATAAATAAGTGGAACAACAAATCTCTCTCTCTCTCAAAAATCAATTTTATATTTTAAAAAAAGTCTCTTCCTGGTGAACAATATTAACTGTTGATTATAATAGAATCAGAGATAAGAGAGGGGAGTGGACTGACAATTCTCGAGGAAAAGGGGAGTGGTGGATGCGGGAAGAAACTGAACATAAACTGTGCACCTATGAATGAGGACAATGGGGGGTGGGGAAAGGGCAGAGGGTGGGGTGGGATCCTGGTGGAGGGGGAAAAATGAGGAACTTTTATAATAATATGAACAATAAAGATTGATTTAAATAAATAAATAAATAAATAAGTCTCTTGCCTTTATTTTACAATGCTTAATGTGATAAACTTCAAGTCAGGTTTCCTATAAAAGCAGGTAATATATGTACAAAAATCACAGAAATAGTATACCAAACTAGTTTAAAATGAGTGTTTTTCTACTTAAAATATTGTTTAGCTTAAGACTTCTTGAAGCATTTGTAAAGCAAAAGAAATTGCAATAAGGTTTTTTATTATTTTTTGTAAACACAGATGGTTTTTACATTTGAAATAACATTTCAGCTAAACAAAACATTGCTACACACTTATATTTAATAAAAAGTTGCCTTGATGTTCAGTGGATAGAGTATCAGCATGCGGACTGAAAGGTCCCAGGTTCCATTCCGGTCAAGGGCATGCACCTGGGTTGCAGGCACATCCCCGATGTTTCTAGCTCTCTATCTCTCTCCCTTCCTCTCTGCAAAAAATCAATATATATATATATATATATATATATTTTTTTTTTTTTTTAAGTTGCCTTGAAAAAGTGTAACGAACGCCCTGGTGATAGAAGATTTCTAACAATGACAACAAAAGGCAGCACAAGGTGAGTTCCAGGAGCGGGGGACATGCGAGGACTTGGGAGGAGGGAGGACTGTGTAGCTGATGAAATGAGCAGTGAATGCTCCCCTCCACTTGCTGTCATTTGATTATTCATGTCTGCGTGAATCCATTCTCTCTCTTTTTTTTTTTTTGAAGTATAAATGTTTTTAATAAATATCAGAAATGTGTTTAAAATACAACTAAATTAAATTTTGTGGCACCTGTGAATCCATTCTCTTGAGCAGAGACATCGTTTGCAGGGCCCAGTGCAAATTGAAAATGTGGGTCCCCTGTTTAAAAAGCATGAAGAATTCCAAGATGACAACAGCAGCGTGCTCGCCCAAACACAGCGGGCCCTCTGCACAGCCTGTCCCATTCGGAAGAGACGAAGAATTTGTTTCTGCCAGTACCTTGGCCTGCGGCCCAGCCTTGTGTGTTTGCATAGTCCCTGTTCCTCTCGAAATTCCTCGTGTTTTCAGTATCCAGGTGCTCCTTCGTCCCACTTCTAGATTCCATTCATAGCTGCCTGTCTGACTCTGGGAGGAAGGGAGGCTGGAGTGTGAAGCCCTACTCTGCCAATGGCCTGGCCTCTGAGCACTCCCATTTCCAACTGAATCCTTTCTCTTGGGAGCCTGTTAGGAGGTGACAGGCTTGGCAGGGAGCAAGGACTCAGCAAATGTCAATTGTCTCCCTTTCTCTCTGTTAGAGAAAGACCCGTAGAAGAGAGGACTTTATTTCTGGATTTTTAAGTTCCTTCTTTATTCTGCTTAGGAATTAGTCTTGAGTACGCATGTTGGGTGTGGAATTGATGCTCTAGTCTGAGCCTCCAGGGAGCCTCTGAGACAGGGTGGGGCAGCCAGAAGGCTGGGGTGCTGGTCCTCATGCCTGGA